AATCCTCATTGCATCTTCATGGTAAATTACAGTATTTGGCAGTGGAAATCTTTCGCGAATATGGCAACATTTCTTGACTTGCAAAAGGGCGACACCTTTTGGCCATATACTTAGTTTGTATTTTATATATGTATATTATTTGTATAGTCTGGCATCTCGAGAGCCCACAGAGGGACGCAGCAAGCGAATGTGAACCGGACCAGACCAGATCAGAGAGGAGAAGGAGCACAGTTTGCCGAGGAGCAAGAATCAAGTTCGAATTCGGACAATTATTCGAGGGGGGGGGGGACTTTGAAATCGCGCTGGCTTTTGGCATACAAAAAAATGGAATGGAATGGGATGGAAAATAAGGAGAGAAAAATGAAAACTTTGGCTCCCATTGGGCTGGCAGTTTCATCTTGAGAGTGAAGCTCATCTGAAAGAACACAGCATGCAAATAGGTTAATAGCACGATCTCCAAATGGGGGGGGGGGGGGGGGGGGGGGGGGTTTCGCCCAGAAGGCGAGGGAAGACGTCGCGCCGATTGCATCCGGACCCAATTGCAGGCGTCTCTCCTTTCCGCCCGTTCTTCAGGCTGCCTCCCTAATCCGCGTTAATTCCACTTGTTTATCATGATGTGCACAATTGAGCGCCATTTTGTATTTCGTTCTTGTTCTTGTTATCGATCTATCGAAAGCAACGCTTTTGACGATTACAAATTGACTTGGCAAACCAACTGCGCGACTCACACGTGTCGCGAGCAATTGGTTTGCCGTTTTTTCGATTTCAATTTCAATTTTCTGCTCATTTTTCTCTTTTTTTTTTAATAATTCTTCGTTTACGGCGCGTTCGAAAACGCGACGAAAACTCTCCTCACACTTGATTTTAATTTTTTTTTTTTTTTTTTTTGCATGCATATTTTTTTTTTATTATATATATATATATATATTTTTTTTTTTTTTTTATTTTTGTCTGTTAAGCTCCTAGCGCTAATTGTACAGACCACGTATAACGTGGACAATTTTTGTTCCATTTTAGATTATTGTTTGACGGGTTTATTGATTTAGTTGGGCTTTGGCAAAGGCGACGCTGCAATTGGCCCAAAGAGAAATCGGCCTGACGTTCCGTCTCGAAGTCGACAAACTCACCCGGAAGCAGCTTTGAAAAAGGCATTGTACTTGGAACTCGGAACTCGGAAGCTCAACTGCAAGCAATGTACATATTATATGGCACATATGTATGTTATGTATGTAGTTGGGATGGAATGGCAAGTGGCAAATGGCATATGTACATATGGGAGCAAAATCAAGAGTTGATGCAATCAAATCAAAGGACAAACGCAGCCAGCTGCGATTTCAAAGCCAAACAATTTACAACTATTTTTGAGGTTATGCTCGGCAAACTGTTCTGTGCTGTGCTCCGTTACATTACGGTACATCACGATTGAAGCTGCGCCCGGCTCCATGAAGTCCACTTTTCGCCTCTCTCTCTCTCTCTCTCACTCGCGCTCTCTTTTTTGTGTTCTGCTTCAGCACGCTTGCAGCTGCGATTTTTAATGAATTTCATACAACTTCTTTCTTTGCACTCTTCTCCCTCTTCCACTCTCTCTCTATCTCCCTTTCTCTTTTATGTTCTTCAGCACGCTTGCAGCTGCGATTTTTAATGAATTGTAGGACTCCTGCACTGGCAACTTCTTTCTTTTCACTCTTCTCTCTCTCTTTCTCTTTCTCTTTCACTTTATCTTTTAAGTTCTGCTTTAACACGTTTGCAGCTGCGATTTTTAATGAATTTTAGACCACTTCTTTCTTTGCACTCTTCTCTCTCTCTTTTATGTTCTTCTTCAACACGTTTGCAGCAATTTTAGTCAACTACTCGCTTTTGCACTCTTCTCTCTCTCTCTTCTATGTTCTTCTTCAAGACGCTTGCAGCTGCGATTTGAAGGCATTTTAAGACTGGCAACTTCTTTCTGTGCACTCTTCTCTCTCACTCTCGCGCTCTCTCTCTCTCTTCTTTGGCTCTCTGCCTGCGCCTCCTTGTGACAGTCGCCGGAGCGACACGGCCTAAACGAAAAAGAAAAAAAGAAGGAAGAAGAAGAAAACCAACTAAAGGAATACCCTAGCTAAACGGACTGTGGATCGGACGCAATGTTGCTGCACAATATTCTTGGACGTAGTCGTGCCGAAGGGAAATGCGGCTTGATGGATTTGTCGTGGCTGAATATTACGATGACACTTTGCTGCTTATGCGTTTAATAATTGATCGGATACGTTAATTAACGGCACAAATGGCCGCCATTTTGTTAGACTATATACATATATATATTCAATTGTATTTGAGTGCGAGTCGTGCTCGGCTGGCTTTTAGGGAAGCGCCCGCAAGGCGACCTGGCGCCGAGCTGTGCGAATGCCTCGGTTATGCGCCGGGGGGACGGGGCCTGTGTTGGCGGGGGCAGCGTGCGGCGTGGGGGGGTACTCGACCCGTTAGTTATGGATGTTGTTATACACACTTTGCAGCGTGTGTAACTGTTAATCGTTTATGTGGTTTGTATTGCTTTCACGTTCTATTCGATTCTATATTGCGATTAGTCTCTGCTCTTGCGCTTGGGTATAGATAAGCATGCGGCGACCGTCGTCCCTCTCTGACGCTCCTTGGGGCAGGTACGCGCCGAGCGAGATGGACATATGTGTACTGTGTGTGTATGCGGTGTTCGAGAGGAACGCGCTCTCTCTGCTTTTTGCTCGTATTGCCATCTCAGTCGCATCCGTGTGATGCCGCGCACACTCGCGATAGAAGTATGTGGTTACGCTTCGTCTCGTATCTCGTGTGTGCGGCACCAAACTGAAACGATTCGATGTACTTTTTCCCATTTCGGTTTCTGTTCCATTTGTCCAGCTCGCAGGGCGCGCCTTTCCGCCAAGAGCGTGCCTAGTTCCCCCATTTTCCCCCTTCGGTCTGGCTACCCGCCCGCAAGAGCTGAGTGTGATTGATCTGAGCCCGCAGCAGCCGCACACGCCCCGCACGCGCCTCCTCCCCTCTCTCTCTCTCTCTCTCTCTCTCTCGAGGAGGAGGAGGAGGAGCAGAGGGAAGAGGCACCACAAGCCCCAAACCGAGACATACTCACCCGCGGCACCCGCGCCTTGGTTTGCTTTAATGCTTCTTTCATCGCTTTTTCCAGCTTTTCCGTTTATCGGTTTGATGGACAATTGATGGATACGATGACACATGGCCGGGCGGAGGGGGGCAAAGGGATAGATGAGCCTGGCACGGATTATACATCGAATATTGCGCACTTTGCAGCTGGCAAACGACGACCTGACCTGACCTGACCTGGCCTGGCCTGGCCTGGCGAAGATCTGGGTACAGTTGCGCGGAAAAAACAAAACATCAATCAAGTAACTTTGTTAAGCGGAAGAACTCGGACAGAAACAGCAGCAGCAAAACAAAAAAAATAAATGTCACTTGCAAATTGAATAAAAGAAACTGTGAAAATTCAATAAAATACTTTTTGCACTTTTTGCTAAACTAGTTGAAAATTGAAATAAAATATTTGGAACGAAGACCGTGTCGCTGGCTCCAGAGTTCTCACTCGACTGTGCCCGAGCTTCTGTGGATGGCAACGAGCTAGCCTCGGCCAGGATACGCCAGGTACAAACAGCTCGTCGTCGTCGTTGTCCCTCGCGAGGGGTTCGGGATTCGAGCCGGCTGGCAACAGGCGGCTATTTTTAGGCGCCTGCAGCAGCTGCATGTCCTGTTTTTCCAGATACTTCTGCGCCCCTTCCTTCCCTTCCTTCCCTTTCTTTGCTTTATTCCTCTTCAGGTATACACACACGCTTTCCAGGTAGCCCACCCTTCTTCTTCTTCTTCTCCTTCTTTATGGACAGACAAACAGCCTTCGGCTTCGGCTTCGGCTCTGGCTAATTTCCCCTTTGCTGTTGGCAATGCCGCAAAAACTCGCCTCACTTTGCAGTTTGTTGCATAAACTCACTCTCTCTTCTTTCTTTCTATTTTTTTGCAATTAATAAATGCTGCCATTTCTCGCATGAGACACACTTTGTTTTTTATTGAATAGAGAACTCTGCGATAGTTCGATTTTCTCGCCGGACTATTCCAGGCACAGAGAGCGTGGGCGACGCCTCGGCAAATATACGGGGGCCTCCAGCTGCACAGAAATTCACCTTTCACATTTATTCAATACACATTTTCGTTTAACTTGGATTTCCACAACCTTTTTCACTTTTTAATGTGGGCGATCGCGCGCACTGCGCACTAAACACAGCCGCAGCCAACCAGCCAACCAACCAAGTGCTGCCAATCGCTATGAGAACCTGCCACACGCAAACGTCCGGTGTGGCCGCACAGTCTGTACGCCAGGTGGCAGCGCTGGGCATGCAGCCCTGGCAGGCTCAAGAATTGACGCGCCACAGTAACCGTTTGAATTTGAATTCGAAACGTTGTGCAAGGGAAATTGTCAAATTGTCTGTATGGGAAATTTAAATAGTTTGCAAAGGCATAAATAAACTAAATAGTATTGCAGAGATATACGTACTTCGACTAATTGAAAAACAGTTGCAAAAATAATAACAAGAGCATAAAATAAATATAAAAAAAAAAGTTGCTTATAACATAGGCTTAATTTGACTAATTTGCAAAATGGTACAAAAATAATACCAAAAGCAAAAACTAAATATAAAAAAATTGTTGCTTACTTAAACGTTGTGCGAGGGAAATTCAAATTGCCTAAATGCGAAATATAAATTGTTTGCAAGGGAAATTCAAAATAAATATGCATAAATAATATGTTTTGCGCGGGAAATTCCGAAAGTCTGAATGGGAAATTTAAATACTTTTGGGCGGGTAATTGAAATTGTCTGAATGGGAAATTTAAAGTCTTGCGCGGGAAATTTAAATAGTTTGCAAAGGAATATTGAAACTTGGAGTTTAACGAATTAAAAGGTATTGCAGAGATATATGTGCTTATATATTAATTAAATATTTTACATGCATCAAAAAAAAAAGCACATTTGTAAAAACAAACATAAAACAGACTTGGCGAACACTTAGACTTAATTTGACTAAGGTAAAAAAATGGTACAAAAACAATAACAAGAGCATAAAATAAATATAAAACAAAACATGGTTGCTAAAAGCATATTCGAGAATCAGTCTCAGCTAACACAGATTGAGAGGTTTAGGGCTCCAGGTAAGTATCGTAGGCCTGATTGCGATAGCTGCCGTGTCCTGGCGTGTCTATGCCGACGTCGCTGCCGCCGTCGCTGCCGCCGCCGCCGCCGCCAGCTGAGCTGCGCTTCACATTCGGCAGATGCTTGTGGTGACCCTCGATGTTGTGGAGCGTAATCTTCTTGAATTCCTCATCCTTGATGACCTTCGGCAGTTCCATATACTTGTAGTTGCGCGCGAGAAAGAGGAAGATCAAGAGATTGACCAGCATGATGCTGGCGAAGAGAGCAAACTCCGCCGACTGGGTGCTGACGAACTTGACCTCGGCTATGACCACGACAATCATATTGCCAATGGCCACCGAGAGGAGCCAGCAGGCCTGCAGCACGGACTTCATGCTGACCGGCGCCTGGGTAAAGGAGAACTCGAGCCCCGTCACCGAGAACATTATCTCGGCGGCGGTCATCACCACAATCTGCGGCAGCTGCCACAGTATCGACAGCGATGTCGGCGGCACCACCTCCAGCATGTTGTATTGCTAAAGCAGGAGAAGATTACATTAGATGCTATCCCAGATCTTAATGCCATGAACTTACGTAGCCGTCGCGGGCATTGCCCTGCACCAGCAGGCTGTAGAGTCCGCCGTTCTTGGCCTCGAAGCTGGCCGCGCGCTTCCCGTTGATGTCCAGCTCGCCGTAGCCGAGCGAGATCTGGTGCAGCGCCGTCAGATTGCCGATGTCCAGCCGGACGCCGGGCACACCCGAAACGGGCGCCCTCAGCAGGATGGGGCCCTCGTCCGCGGGTGTGTTGACCAGGGCGCGCAGCAGCGGGGGCCTGTTGATGCGCTGGGCACTGGTCAGGCCGTCGGGAAACTCCCGGAGCGCAGCATTGGCCAGAAAATAGCTGACCGACTTGCCCGGCTCCAAACGAATGCTGCCCTCGATGCTGGGGCATTGCTTGGTCGGCGAGCGGGCCACAAACGCGTACTCCTTGGGCTGGGGCACATGCAGGCCCAGATTCGACCACATGCCCAGCGGCTCGATGCTGTGCGCCGACTCCAACTCCAACTCCGACTTGGACTCCGACACTAGGTCGCTGGTGAAATCGTAGCGGCAGGGCATCCCATTGTAGAGCCGGAGATGGGCCATGTCCGGGGCGGAGGGCGTCGCGGCCGGCTCGAGCTGTTCGAGGCGCAGCTCAACGGCGGCGGACAGAAAGAATCCGAAGGCGGCGAGCAGGAGGCCAATGCTGAGCTTCTGCAACGGACGCTTGATGCCGACGCGGGCGAGCAGCGGATAGATGAGATAGTCGAAGAGCGGAATGAAGGCGAGTATCAGCAGCGGATTGACCACCTGCATCTGATCGGGCTTGATCTGGTAGCCCAGAATCGAGCCGTCCATGTGCGTCGCCTGGAAGGTCCAGCGCGAGCCCTGCTGATCGGACAGCGCCCAGAAGATGGGGAACGGCACATAGAGCAGCAGGATCTTGGTCAGGCATTTCGTCTCGTAGACCATCTGCTGGCCGACGACGGGCGTGGCATAGTCGAGGAAGTGCACCATCGGCTTGTCCATGCGATTGTGGCGCCAGCCCTTGTACGCGTTCGTGATGCACTGCGACACGCCGAAGATCATGTTGCCCGACGGCGGATGCAGCTTGTAGCGCCTCTTGCCGGCCACAAAGATCACCATCGAGACGATCATCAGGACGGCGGGCACCCCAAAGGCCAGCGAGTAGCAGTCCTCCTCGCCGAAGCAATACACATCCGCCCGCAAGATGGGCGTCACCGTTGTCGAGATCATCGAGCCGGCATTGATCGCAAAGTAGAAGAGCGAGAAGAACTTGGCCAGGTCGACCGCCTGCGCCGGCAGCTGGAACTGATCCCCACCGAAGGCCGAGACGCACGGCTTGATGCCGCCGGTGCCCACGGCTATCAGCAGCAGGCCCACAATGGTCACCACCCTGCCAAACCAAGAGCACAACTCATACTGAATCCGAGCTGGTTACGCTTACGGTTACATATACGGAACATAGATGGATAGATACTCACTTCACGGGCATGCCGGCTATGGGTATGGCCCCAAAGGCGACTATCATCGCGCCCAAGCTATATACCACAGACAGATACAATATCGTGCTGTACTTGCCCAGCCAGCCATCCGCGATTAGTGCTCCGACCAGGGGGAAGATGTACACCAGCATGGTGAACACGTGGAAGAGCACCGTTGCCGTCTCCTCGTCGTAGCCCAGCTTGTGCGTCAGATACAGCACCAGAATGGCTGCGGGCGACAATAATTGCGGGGATTACTATATGTGCGGCAGGAGGAAGGGCATAGAGATCGGTGGGAGAAGGTGACATAGAGATCGAGGAGTACTTATCACGTGTGGAAGGAGGAGGGGGCATAGAGATCGGAGACTAACTACCCCGTGAGAGAGGAGGAGGAGACATAGAGATCGATGGGAGGAGGGGTCATCGAGATCGGGGAGGAGTTACTTAGAGATCGGTGGGAGAAGGGGACATAGAGATCGAAGAGTACTTATCACGTGTGGGAGGAGGAGGGGCCATAGAGATCGGAGATCGGGGAGGACTTCCCACTTGGGAGCGGAGTTCAGGGACAGCTACTACGAAGGAGGAGGAGATGGGGATCATAGAGATATCCCGGGGAGTACTTACCACGCATGCCATAATAGTTGAAACGCTCGCAGAACTCATTGCTAATGATGAAGGCCACCGACTTCGGATATTCCGGACCCTGTCAAACGGAACAAGAAGAAGAAGAAGAAGACGAGCCGGAGATTAGACAACAATCTTTATTTTGAAGACATCGGCGTCTTGTTATCCGATTTAGCCCAATTATATAGTCAAGTAAGATGACTCGTAATTATTGCAACTATTTTCGCCGCACGATTTATTGGAGCTGTCCCCGTCATTATCTACGCCCGACAAATCAAATGGGAACCGCAAAGTGCCGCATCATTTGCTGACTTGTCGAATCCGACAACTGCCAATTACTACAACTATATCTGTGTGTGTGTGTGTGTGCGTGTGTGTGTGTGTGTAGTACGAGTATCTTTATATACGTAACTGAAGATAGGCCCTGTCTATGCCTGACAAATCTTTTTTATGCCCTTGCAGAGGGTATTATAATCTTGTCTCGAGCTGTGCGCAGCGCATAGAAGGAAACATCTCCGACTCCATTAAGTATATATATTCTTGATCAGCATCAACAGACGAGTCGTTATAGTTATGTCCGTCCGTCCCTAAGTCTGTATCTATGCGAACTTAAAGCTAAGGTTGCAGAAGTCCCTCTTTCTGTTGCACGCAGTGCATATGTCGGAACCGGCTGGATCGGCGCACTATATCATATAGCTGCCATAGGAACGATCGGTCGAAAAAGAGGTTCTTCTATGAACAACTTTTTTGTTTATCAAGATATTTTGACCAAACTAGACATTTATTTGTTTCACTAAGCTCCTAATATATAGACTAAATCCTACCCATATCGGACAACTATATCATACAGCTGGCATAGGAACGATCGGTCGAAAATTAAGTTATTGTATGAAAAACTTTTTGTTTTTTCAAGATATCCTAAACATACTGAGCATTAACTATTTTCCCCTGTGCTTCTTAGATGCGAGCAATGAATTATGAGCATTTAGAAAAAGTTTGGTCTGCAAGGGTATTAAATCTTCGGCGTGCCGAAAATAGCCCTTCTTTCTCGTTTTCATTTGAAGAGCATTCGAGCGTAATCGAGTTATTAAACTATATTTATGAGTTTTACGAAATACCAAAAGAGATAATACTTCTTTTTCAAACCTTCTCTCTCTTTCCCTCTCTCTTCTTCTCCATCCCCCTCTAACTATTTGTTGGGTTCGCAGTCATGTTCGTTAATTTAATTACAGGGTATGTTCACGTTAAGCACTCGGGAAGCCTTTAAATGAGAGTGCTCTAATCGGAAATTAGCGACTATGAGATACCCTGTACCTACGTGTTTATCGTAGCAGGTATATCTTTTGATATTATGAAAATGGAAGCAGAAAAGAAAATAAACTCGTTCTGCGTTTGGTAATTGATAATATATATATCCCAAATATTAATACTATAGCTATTGCAGATCCGAAGATCGATTAGTTTATGGACTCGGAGATGTTTTCTTCTGCCTGTTACATAGTTTGTCACAAGAACAAACTACCCTTTGCACACATTGTCAATTGTCCAGGGTATACAAATATCTACAGATAATTATGTATTCGCCAGATAGTAAGACTGACCTACTGTTGTTATGAATGTATTTGGCTGTGGACTCTTGTCGATTTCATTTTCGTTTCGTTTCGTTTTTTTTTCGTCTTTCGTTTTGTTTTGGTTTGCTTTTAGCCAAGGTAAACGATAAACGGGTTTGAGCCAACAGCTGTTGGCCCAAAGCCAATCAAATTGCGAATTCTGCATGCGCGCAATGCCCGACCCAAAGTCAAGTCCGAGCCCAACTCCATTTACAGGGTATTCGAGCGCCATTTGGCTTCAGCTTTAGCCACAAGTTGATTTATTCAAATGCGATTTGGCTGGAAATTTTACATTCTGTAAAACGAGTTACGACTCGATCGAAACATGTAAAAAAAAAAAAGGTATTTGTTAGCACGAAGTGCTGCTTCTCAGACCCAGACCTAGAAAATTCCCCTTCTTATCCCCCCCTCCCGAGTGTTTGACATTGGCAAATAGTTTTGAAAAAACAATAGAATAGAATCAAGCTTCGCTGAGTTTTCCTCTCTCTCTCTCTCTTTGCCTCTCTCTCCCTTTTTCTCTCTGGACTCCGCACTTGCATTAAAGCTTTGCGCTCCAATCAAATTGTTGTTCTCTCTATATATATATATATACTATTATAAATTGTGAGCCCGTCTAACTGGTCCAAGACATAGACAACATTTCAAATGTTGAGTCTAGTTAAGGTTGAAACATTTGCAAAAAAAGGCGGCTTTGCCCGGCCAAAGTATTGTTAATACAATCTTGACGTAGATTATCCAACATGTATTTATTTTTGTTAAGCCCCGTTCTCAATATCATACCATTAGGTAACTACTGTAAAATTCTTTCTATCGCTCACAGATTGGGATATAAGTTGATCATCAATCAATCAGTCAATCAGTCAGACTGACAATCAATAAAAACGTTAAATATTAATATACATATATGATAGATTATTTGTGTCAAGGCATTATTTGATTCGACTAACGATGCTGATGTCTATATATAAAACTGTTTGTTCTGAGTGACTTTCTGACTGACTGACTGACTGATTGATTGATTGCTAGGAAGCTGAAACTTTCAGTGTAGTTACCTTATGTGATGAAGGTGCACGTTAAGAAGGGGTATCGGGAAATTCCACCCGCAAGTGTGGAAACGAAAAACGTTTGTATTTTTGAGGGAATTTATTTGATACGTCGTACACTTTTGATCGCACCCTCACAAATTCAACTATCCGAAATAGAGGTTATGTTATGAAATGGTGACGTCACGTTCTCGCTATAAATTTATTGTATTTTTACGCTCAGTCGGTTGAACGGTAATTATAGGTTGTAATATGGAATGCATATCCAACCACCTGATGATTCAAACTGCGACTAATTGCAGAGCCGACGATAATTGTTGCTGATATCTTAGCTTAGTTGTTGTTCAACGTTCGACTAGACACAAATCGCTCGCATGGCTAGAAAACAAATACCATAGGTAAACTATGTATGTATATAGATATGCCAGGCAAGTCCGGTAAACCAAGATACCCGTAACTCCAGCTGAATGGGTTATTCAACTTGCTTGAGTTGAGTAAAGTGGGTCATCGGCATCAGCGGAGCGAGGGGTCTATTGTTTTGATTCGAATCTCGACATCGATATCGATTCCATTTCGCTGATTAATTCAATCAATTTGCGGGCAATAAAAGGATTGATCGCCGCGATCGGCGGGCATCCAAGGTCAGTATGCGAACAAAAGTGGGCATCACCCAGCCTCCGAAGCTATTCCTGACCAGCATCAACAGCTGACAGCCGATCGAAATGCCACGAACACATCTCCTGCCCCTTAAAGTATATAGATTGCTGATCTTAATCAAGATCCGATTCGATCTGGAATTAGTGATAAATCTCTCGAGCCACTATATCATATATCACAGGGTTTTCTTAAAAGCGAGCATAGTTTTTCTTACGATTAACCTCTTTTGTTTTTCGATAAATCCTTATCAATTTGCGAGTCGAATTATGTTTCCACCATATGATGCGCAAATATTTGATCAAAATTGGGTCACAATATCATAGTGCTCCAATAAGAAACATTCGAAATCTTCTACGTGCTTGCATGCCGAAAATAACTGTTCTTCTTTGCTTGACATTTTCGATATAATACCCTGCACTAACTGCAACAGGGTGTTTCTGTACAATGTCATCAAAATTGGGTGACAATATCATATTGCTCCTAATGGATAAAAAAAAGAAGAAACATTCGAAATCTCCTATCCCGAAAATAATTGTCCTTCTTTGCTTGACATATTCGTTATATTTCCCTAACTCCAACAGGGCATTTCTGTTATTCGAAAGTATTTACTTGGGAATTTACTTTGTACCCTTTTAAAGGTATAAACGGTTTAAGCTGCAATTGCGACTTGCATGCATACACGCACACAAGCATATTGCACACATGCACACATACACACATGCTCACATACATATATAGACAAAAGCGGTCAGTGGCTTTGTCCACTTTGGCAAGCGATCTCTGGTTTTTATCTCTTATAAGTACACACAAACATACATACATATATGCATGTGAGTACATTCGTGTGCGAGTGCTTTCAGAAATGCTGCACGTGCGTGCTTTGATATATGTATGTATGTGAGTGCTTGTATGTATTACACTTTCTCAATCGTCAACTGAAAGTGACAATAAGCAGACGCTACGCAGACGCTTCAGCGCTGCCTCAGTCGCAGTCGCAATCGCAGTCGCAGTCAACGCTGACGCTGATGCGGCTGCTGCTGCTGATGCTGACATTTGTGACTGGTTTATTTTTATTTCAGGTAGGGCTCGGCGACTAAAAAATGTACGATTGTACATATGTTTGCAATTGGCATGTACATATTTCTACTTACATATGTACACACACACATGCATACATACATATGTGGAACTGTCAAGCGCACCATAATTGTGCGGTAAATCGTTTAACGTAGCGGTACATTAAGCTCACCTCTTTCTCTTGTTTCTCGCTAGCTTCCAACTCCTTTGCTCTGCCGTTGGCAGCAGACTCTGCTGCCTCCACGTCCGACGATTTCATTTGTGATTTGTTGCTCTATCCACAACGAAATGTAATGCATAACATAACAAAACAGCCGAAAACGAACACAAAACGAACAAATGGCTAATCTCAAGTTCAATTTACGGCTTGGAATTTACCGCAACTGCCGAAAAACGCACGCCCGACTTGCAATTATTAATCTCTGGCGGGGGGTTGGGTGCGGGTGCGGGCAGCGCAGGCGTCGACGCGCAGTCACGTTTGCGCCACAAAACGAAGAAGACGAGGACAGGCGACAGCGGACCGAGACGCGACGCCTTCAGAGCGACAAATGTGCGAATGAAGTGCGAGCCGTGCAAGCTGCGCTTTTAAGCGAAAGCCTGCAGACACCCTCGCCAAAAAAAAAAGAAAAAAAAGGGCGATCAAACGAGAATTTTAAATAAACTGTGTGCTAGTGGAAGGAGGTGGAGGCGAGGGGGGGGATAAGCATGACAGCGGCATCGCTGCGCCAATTAACTGAGATCAAGATTTACTCTCGCGATTGCGCGCTCTTTTTGTCGCTCGCCGTCTCTGTAAGTTCGTCAGCTGCTTGGTGCAGCGCAGCGCAGCGCAGGCAAGCAGCGCAGTCGCCGTCGGCATCGGCGGCGCCTTCTTCTAGCTTAGGCAAGTTCAATGCTGATAAAAGCGAGATATGTGTGTGTGTGTGTCTGTCTTTTATGCTGTTAGCCCTTCTGTCCGGGTCGAGGGTTGTTAAAGAGAGCGCAGTTATTTATGCAATGCGACAGATTGAATACCCTTTCAAAGTTGCAGCTCGAATTTGATTAGTTTAGTAAAAATGTCTTTAAAAAAAAAATAACAGCTCAGTTCCTGACACACAAATGATATAGGGCTTGCATTAAACTTTCTTTAACAACTAAGATCACGAATATATATCTGATCAAGAATCTATATGTACACGCTAAAATACCTCCCGATTGCGATAGGGTGTACATTCTACTCTAGAGAGAATTAACATACATTCGACTAATTTGATTTATGCATATTATCATTTGTTTTTTGTTGGATAATATCTTACCTCTGCGCACGATTCTCGGCGCCAGTCCGTGCTGTCGTTGGTATCGGATTGGCTTTCGGACTCGTTGGTATCGAACTCCGATTCGTAGTAGCGAGTGCGGGCCGTGGAGACGCCGGCGCTCTCTTCGCCCAGATGATCAACGCCGCCGCCAGACCGCAGCTCTGCCAACAAAAGAGAGCGAACAGGAGAGAGGGTTGAGTGACAGAGAGAGAGAGAGAGAGGGAGGATCGCTGACTTACGCAGAGAGCTGTCGGATCCGCAGCAACAGGCCGAGGATTCGCTCAGCGGAGGGGTGGCCATGCGCTCGCGCAGTTTTCGAAACATTGAAAATATGAATATGACTTTGAATGAGATGCGAATACTCGGATCTTGACAGCAGACTCCTGGCTAGCTGTGAGCACAGTTCCCATTCCTTCCAAGCTACCCTCCTTAAAGGGCAGTCACAGGGGATCTTCTGGCCCAAAGTGAGTCCAAAGTGAGCTTTAGACTAGATTTTCCGCTAAGCTAATCTAACCACGAGCATTACTTACACATGGATTGCAATCTAATCGGACAAACGTTGTCAGCTGACCGCGATCGGGACGCGTGCTAGGTTAGCTCTTCAAGTGGGTTGCCTATAAAAGTTAAGAGCTGTATACTTTATTGGGAAATTATTCACAAATACTATACTATTTAATATGTCATCATTTTATAGGGTGGGGACAACACTGACTCGGCTTTGTTCCAATTCACTGAGTGAAACAAAGGCGGATTCTTGTATTGCCCGCGCTAGATCAGAAAATGTGATCGGATCCAACATGATGTAAGTCCTCCCATACCGATTGCCGTACAGAGATAATCGAAACGTTTCTCAAGAGGCGCAGGCCCATCGTCTTCTGCTGCAATCCATATTAATATATGTAGATGTTCCACGACCCCGTCGACACTCTATATAAAGTCTATATCTACGTCCGTAGTTGCAGCTCAAGTGCGAGTATTCTAGATATGGCCCATGCGCTGCTCTTAATAGCTTCAATAAAGTGTTACTCAATCCATTCATAATGGCATATATGCACATATATAATATATATATACATATATATACCTGAATACGTACACTGGATCGGGTACTTCATAATAATTCAAGTCGCTTTTGGCTTTTGTCGCTGGGCCCAGCAAATGACAATAGAAACAAAACAAAAGAGAAACGAGAAAGAAGGCACGCCGAAGATTTAATACCCTTGCCGACCAAACCTTTACATAATGCTTAGCTCGTATCTAAGAAGCACAGGGAAAACAGTTATTATATGGTTAAGATATACAATAACCTTATTTTCGACCGATCGTTCCTATGACAGCTATATGATATAGTGAGCCGATGTTGATAGGATATTGCATATATATGAGGTGTATAGTAAAACTAATAACTGTCGAGTTTGGTCAAAATATCTTGAAAAACAAAAAAGTTTTCTATAGAACAACATAATTTTCGACCGATCGTTCCAATGGGAGCTATATGATAAAGTCGTTCGATCTTGATAGAATTTTGCATATATATAGGGAGCATAGTGAAACAAATAAATGTCGAGTTTGGTCAAAATATCTTGATAAACAAAAAAGTTTTTCATACAATCACCTTCTTTTCGACCGATCGTTCCTATGGTAGCTATATGATATAGTGCTCCGATCCAGCCGGTTCCGACATATGCAATGCGTGCAGCAGGAAGAGGGACTTCTTCAAGCTCGCATGGAAGCAGACGGACAGACAGACGGACGGACGGACGCACCTGGCTATATCGACTCGGCTGTTGATACTGATCAAGAATATATATACCTAATGGATTCGGAGATGTCTCGTTCTCGAGACAAAATTATAATACCCTCTGCAAGGGTATAAAAAAAAAGTCCATAAATCGCCGATTGGAATAACAACACCAATAACACTCGGTCGTACAATGCAATAGTCATGTTTACGATATACATACCTGTACTTACACATGAATGTGCTAATCTTTGTGCCCGTAATTATGGGTAATCGTAAATGTGCGCTCCATGCACAGTTATCAGCCATCGGGTATTGGCCGTCGATTATCGGCTATCGCCGGAACGATTAGGCATATAAAACAGAGCCAAGTCAGCGCTCGCCTTAGATAAGATCAATGGATGGATCTCAGCGAGAAACTGGTGATAGGCCTTTAAGCCCATTAACGGGACATTGTGGCCAATAGAAAACGAAAGGAAGGAAGGAAGAAAGGAAGGAAGGAAGGAAGCAAGGATATCTTGCCTTTTGTCTGACAAGAATATATGTATGTATATGTGTGTATCTGGGTTGTAATTGAAAAGTAACGGTACTTGTAGATACCCTCAACTGGCAACTAGTTAAAGTTATCTGCCGGGCGGCGATAAGAAATGAATTGACACAAAAAAAAAGCTTAATTAATGACGCCGCAGACACGACTCCGACAAGGGCTGCTGTTTGCCAGATAAGGCGCCGCTAACGGTATCGGATGCCCCTGGCCAAACAAGCATTGAGATAGAGCCCAACTCGATGCATGCAGTTGTAGATACATAGATACATACTATATCGGACTTCTGATCGTTGCGATATCTGGCTGTAAATTACCTGCGAGCTGCGAAGGACGCGCGCACTTTCTGCTCGTAAATACTTCAGCTGCAGCGATAAGCTTTTTTTTCGCTGATAAGCTTTTGGCCAAGCTCTCTAACAAAAAAAAAGCGATTAGCGGCATATTTAACGGTGCCCGAAAACAGACTGCAGCGACGCCGCCACAGGGCACGCGCGCAGTCGCAGTCGCAGTCGACGTCAAGCAGAAAATTGTCGCCGATACGGACGCCTTCACAGGGACCGCGCGCAGTCGCCGTCGGCGTCGCAGCCAACGTCAAGCTCGAAGTAGTCGCCGACGCCTTCACAGGGCACGCGCGCAGTCGACGTCAAGCTCGAAGTTGTCACCGACGCTGACGTCGACGCCGACGTCCGTCATCCGACGGCTTCTTAGTTGACTTACACGCATCGGACATCAGTCAGTCGATTGCCGTTGGCGGAATTGGACGCGCATCGATCAAACGAATCCGCGCGCATCCAGCTTACAATTGTTTCCACTTCGCGTTTGTAACTGTTGCGTTTAACTGTTTGTTCTTTTTCGTTATTTTTTTTTTGGTTTTTGTTTTTGTTGTTGTTTTCCGTTACCATAAATGCTTCTGATGTGAGTTATTCGACTTGCTGCAATGACGAATATAATTAAAATCATGTTTTATATTGTCGAGGCGCGCTCTCAATTCAACTCTTATTGACTTTTTGTTTATTTACATTCATTTTTTTTTCTTTTTGCTGTTGTTGTTGTACTTTTTGCATTTTAATTTTATTGCATTTTTGTTTTGCTTCGCGTGCTTCGCTGCGGGCGAACGCTTTACGTGCTAATTACAATAACGAAATAAATTATTCAAGTTCAGTTCGGCGGCAAATTAATGATTTAATTTTTGTTTGTTTGTTTTTTTTTTTTCAATTTTTTTTGCTTACAACTTAAACCTAAATAATTAATTTTAGTGTTTTTTTGAACTTTCCGAATTAAATATCGTGTTCTGATTTCTCTCTCTCTCTCTCTCTCATTGTCTCTCTTCTGATTTCAAGTGTTGCCTAACGGATGTGAAGTGATTACAAGCCAGTAACAACATGACGGATCATGCAAACGGTACTTTTTTAAACTATATGCACGATAAGAACTCTAAGTAAAGAAATTCTAATTGAAAATAGGATTAATTCCATCTATATGCACGATAAGAACTCGAATTCAAAGAAATTCTTAAGGGTTCCCCAAACAAAGGCGAGAACAAAAAAAAAGTAGTTGACAAATAGTCGACGCTATTCGAAGTCGAAGCTGCGGCTGTGCTTCTTCTTGCCTTGGCTACCCACCATATATGGGAAAAATACAGTCTCTATTAACTCGGCTATTTGTGGTCCGATCTTGATGAAACTTTCAAGACTTAAATATGGCATACCAAAGTGTGTATATACCAAATCCCAAGGCAACTAAGCTTATAATCTTCGAGTTATGCACGGTAATCTCCAAAGTAATAAACTATGAAATACTCAAAGAGAGAATTTACGAAGCTGTCAAACAGATCGAATAGATCTGGACAAAAACAACTCCGAGTCATGCCCTATATTTTGCTTGCATTGATTTGATTTGATTTGTTGTCAACAAAAGGTTAAGTAATTCTCCCATAAATAATCTGTATACATTGCAGATAGGTCTTATCATATAATAGGCGATTAGGCGTTATTTCTTTAGTCAGGTTGAGTTTGAGCCGTCGCGTCGCACGTTTCCAAGAACTCTGCACTAAATCATATTCGAGCCAATCTTATCTGGCCGATAAGCACTCAAGTGCGCCAGCCCTGGCCTCATAGCGGGTCTTCACTGTAGTTCGCTTCGTTCCGTTTTCGGGTCTGGCTCGATTTGAGTTCGGTTCGAAAGACAATGCCAAATGCCAAACTTGGCTAATAAGCACAGCGCAAAATTGGCATCGAACAGCCTCACATTCAATGTCAAACTAAAGTCATTTGCATACTCTCTCTCTCTCCCTCTCTCTCTCTCTCTCTCTCTCTCTCTCTCTCTCTCTCTCTCTCTCTGTCTCATACCAGGATATGAGTACTCGCTTTGAGTCTCTTGGACCGAGCTTCGATCGGGAATGAGTATAAATAGAGTATTTTGTGTGTGAAAGTCATGTTCAAGTCAATTGAGGAGCATTTGTTGTATTCGATTTTGCCAGAGTGCATCTGGGCATTACCTTAGACACTTTCCCATTGTGCCTGTCGTCGTCTGTTTGCATATAGTATTGTGTTCTAGTCGAAATCGGTACTCCCCGGCGTTGGGCACCCGACTAAATTTCATTTGTTGCCGCATGACTAATTGGCTGCAATCTAAACGGATCGACTGAATCACTGACTCGAGCTGAGCTCAGCTGAGCTGCTGCCTGGCCGGAGCGGGTTGCTAGGTTCGAGTAATTGTTTTAGCCAGAAGTTGCCAAAATGTTGCTGATAAGCCGGCAATTAAGGCGAGAGCACAGTTTGGTAATACATCTTGCCAACCGTTAATTAACGGCAAACAAGTCAATCACAGCCGCATGTTCGAGCACGAGTATGGGCGAGTATCTACGAGTATCTACGTGTATGTACGAGTATCTGCGAGTATGTACGATAGATACCGGGTATCCGGAACGTGTTAGAGTTGTCTAAGGAATGCGCCACGCACAAGCTTGGGCCATGCTCTGCCTTTGGTTTGCTGCGTGGGAAAGTACGTGCCGTTGGCTAGTGCCAGTTCAAGCCAATTCTTTGGCGTTATCGCTGGCACAAAGGACCCATAAACATGGCCAGTCAGTAACCACAAAGTGCCGGCTTAATCGCTTGTAAATCAGTTAGTTCGCTGTTCACAACACAGCCAAACAAACAAGCGATATAGCCCCGCAGATAGATCGCCGATAAGGCCCGTCCATATAATGATAAGCCAAATCGAATGCTAACCACTTTTGGTATTCCCATTTTGGCCCAGCTCTAATTTACGACTTGCCTTTCCGACAATCCCGACAATCCCGACCGTCCCGACTGTCCGGAGTTTTAGATAGTATTCCACATGGCTTTACCCCTACTTTTTATCAAGCACAGCTCAAGGATTTCGTGCATCTGTTATGCATCGATTAATGTACAGTGAACACACCGCAGACGAACCAACTTTTAACTACAAAAGTTCGCACTTAATTTGTATCCTTAGTTCGCACAGGCAACTGGCTTTATCAGGAAATTCAATGAAAATTGAACTACAAAAGAAAATTCTGTTGAACTTAAATTGAAAAATGTTCATTATGAGCTTGTAAACAAGATAAAGAAGAATACGATTAGTTTAGATGACGGCAAATAAACAATTTAATCAAGAAATATAAATATATACACATATATAATATAACTTACCGGCAGTCTTCCTTCCAAGCTCCAAGAAATATAGCCCAATCCAACTCGATATCTCTCGATATCTATCGGGATTAAAAGGAATGGGAAATAAACAAGTGAATTAATAAATAACTAGAAGAACGTGGCACTCTCCTGGCGGAGCTCACTCTGCTCTTCCTTCCAAGTTCCAATCCAACTCGATATCTCTCGCAGATCTAGATCTAGATCTTCTCCAGAGAACTTGTCTATCCTTCTATATAGAGCGAGCTTTTCTCTTTTTTTTAGAGTGTCAGCAACAATTCCATTCTGCATTTATTAGGGTATCTGCTAGTCGGATAAACTTCTGCTCTTGTTCATATTTCCTCTACGCTCTCTAAAGCTTACCCTGAGGGGGAGGGGGAGGAAAGGGGTAAAGATTAAAGCAGCTGGCAATTTGGGCGTAATCAATTAGCCAGACATCTGTCTGGCTTAAATTGGGTGACCTTTTGGCAAATTGAGTTTTTAAGGCTCCATTAAAATGTGTCCAAATGGGCTTAAAAAACAAACAAAAAAAAAGTACGTGTGCCATAAAAACTTAAGCAAATTTGCACGTGCAGCCGGCAAAAGCGATTACCCAGCCAAGTGCGGCCATAAAGTAGGAAATATGGGCCAAAACCAATAAGCCCGTACATATCAATTAAAATAATATATATATATATATATATATATATATATTAGTATATATTTTAGCAACTCGCTCGAAATAGAGCTCTTAAATTATTCGCTTACTTTGGATAATCTTAGATTGGGAATGTTTCGTCGCCCGTTTGATATTTTTCTAACTCAATATCTATGCAACAAAAAGTGTCGGAAACTGGGAAAATGTCCGTCCAAGACATAGACACATTCTCTCTCTACTCTGAATTAGAAGATTATTCTAGCTGAAAATCATGAAATCATTCGAATGACAAGAAAACAAATATTGAAAATGAAAACTTATCTAAATCAAATTCAATTTAAATTAGAAAATGAAAACTGTTTTAAATTAAATTAAATTTAAATTAGAAAATGAAAACTGTTCTAAATTCAATTCAATTTAAATTAGAAAAGAAAAACTGTTTTAAATTAAATTAAATTTAAATTAGAAAAGAAAAACTGTTTTAAATTAAATTAAATTTAAATTAGAAAAGAAAAACTGTTCTAAATTAAATTAAATTTAAACTAGAAAAGAGAAACTGTTTTAAATTAAATTAAATTTAAATTAAAAAAGAAAAACTTGTTCTAAATTAAATTGAATTTAAATTAAGTTAAAATACCCCAGCCTAAGGGAAATGCATTCTTGATTAACTTCGGTGCTTATAGTCCGATCAAAATGCAATTTTAACTTCATTTTACTTAAGCAAAAGGTTCAAGCTGCAAAAGGGAAATCTTGATTGTTATTTTTAATTTTATTTTTGTGGCGTATGCTGAAGATAACCAAAATTTGAAATATTTTCCATCTGTTTATATATGTATATACGAGAACCTAAGTAGAAAGATTTCTATATTTATATCCCTAAGAAATCATGTCCCAAAATCGATATTGTTTAAAGAGATTCTCCTAGATATATACCGATAAAAAAAAGATTAGCTTTTTGGCTATTTATATTCAACATTTCAAATGCATCTGGCTTATGGGATCTGATCTAATTCCTTCTGCCTGTTACAGACATTTGCACAGTGCCTTTCGCCACTCTTCGCCCCTTTTCCGTCCTCTTGCCTTGGCGACCCACTATAAAGGGGACATTAACTTCGGTTTTTATGGTCCGATCTTAATGAAACTCTCAATTCCTAAATATGGCATGCCAAAGTGTGTATAAACCAAAGCCCAAAGCTGCTAAGCTTATAATCTGCGAGTTATGCTCGGGTAAAGCTAGCTAGGTCTAATTTCCATTTAACAATCGGCAATTGAGTATCCATGGAGACATGTCGATGGGCATTTTTAATTTTGGCCAAATTAGTTTGAGATAGTTCCAATGGGCTGGCATTGCGATTGACATTGCGATTGCCCGACTTCAAACAATTGCCGCGCCGCGATACCTGACTTTGATAAGCGCTCTGATATACACGAAAATCGAATAGGAGCCAAGCCGCATAAATTCCAGAGCAATTGCCTGGCCTCAAGTCTGCGGCGCTTTATGGCCGCGATGTGACGCGGCGACGGATGTGCGTAAAACTCGGCACATTATTATTGGCTAATGCCAGTCATAAAGCCAACATAAAAATGTTTATCGAGTGCAGGCGATTAGCGAGCACTCGATTACAGCGGCTAATCGTCGTCTTTATTGGTCGGCCTCTATCAACTTCCCTTGCAGCAAGCCTTTCCTTCCAATGACTGTCCACTTTCCAGCTACTTGACTAGCTTGACTTGCAGCTGACAGCTATGAAACTCGCAGAGCAGAGTTGCATTCGCTCTACTCACAGCAATGCTTGTTTGCATTGAGATACATTTAGATACATTTATTGGTCGGGTTCTATCAACTTCCCTTCCAATAAGCCTTTCCTTCCAATGACTGTTCACTTTCCAGCTACTTGACTTGCAGCTGACAGCTATGAAACTCGCAGAGCAGAGTTGCATTCGCTCTTCTCACAGCAAATCCTGTTTGCATTGAGATACATTTATTGGTCGGGTTCTATCAACTTCCCTTCCAACAAGCCTTTCCTTGCAATGGCTGTCCACTTCTCAGCTTCTTCTTCTTCTTCTGCTCCTGACTAGCAGCTGACTGCTATGAAACTCGCAGAGCAGAGTTGCATTTGCTCTACTCACAGCAATGCTTGTTTGCATTGAGATATGGATAGATGTCGCTTGTGAAATCGCTTCCGTAGATAGTTGATACGTGTTGGCCATTTATGATATGAGAAACAGACAAGTTCGAGTACGTTATCTGGATACCCCGACGTACATACATATATGGAGCCCGCTCAGCTATGTCTGCTGACAGGTCTAATGCTTGTTTATGAACGTCTGCGATCCGCCCCATCCCAATAGAGAGTATGCATAGTACATTTAGTTGGGTTGCCCATGCTGATGAAATCAGCGACAGTTCGCAATGGCAACGCCTCAGGAGATAGTGCCGCTTTTGGGTGGGCTCTGCTGTCGCGAAAACCAAGCCTGGAAGCCGACTAATTCCGTCAAGCTGTCGTTGCAGATATCAAGCCCGCCGAGGCAGGCGGCGATCCTGTGGACACTGTCGGCGCCGAGTCCGAGTCCGAGTCCAGAGCTCTTCCGGTCGAAGCGTCAGGCGAAACGGCCACAGCTCCCGCAGTAGAGTCAAGTCTTGTTCCAGCCGCAGCAAGATCTGTGCCAGATCAGGAGGAGCCGGCGAGCAATGGCAAGGCTCTGGCCGATTTTGTTGAGCCCAAGAAGAATGGCATCGATCCAGACGAGAGCAAGGATTTCGGCAATGTGTCCGAGGCGGAAGGACAGCTAAAGGTAGGCGCATTGCCTCAAGCGCAAACCTAGCTCGGTTTACATCTAATCGACTCCCATTCGCGTGTTCTTCTTCTTCTTCTTCTTCTTCTTCCAGAAACTGCCCTATCCAAAGTCGGTGTTCTTCATCATCAGCAACGAGTTCTGCGAGCGCTTCAACTATTACGGCATGCGCAGTGAGTAGAAGCCGGGCCGAAGCCGGCGACAACCTTGCTAATTCCTGTTGATTCCTTTCCAACCTCTTGCAGCTGTGCTGGTGCTCTATCTGAGCCGAAAGCTGGGCTACTCGGATGACACCGCCACCGTGGTGTTCCATGTCTTCACGATGTTCGTCTACTTTCTGTGCGTGTTTGGTGCGATCATTTCGGACTCGTGGCTGGGCAAGTTCAAGACAATTTTGTATCTGTCGTTGGTTTATATATGCGGATCGATTCTGTTGACCCTCGGCGCCATTGGACCGCTCAACTTGCCGCTGGAAACATTCACCATACTGGGCTTGGCGCTAATTGCCCTCGGCTCGGGCGGCATAAAGCCGTGCGTGTCGGCCTTTGGCGGTGATCAGTTCAAGGTGCCGGAGCAGCTGAAGCAGATAACCTCTTTCTTCTCGCTCTTCTACTTCTCCATCAATGCCGGATCGCTGATCTCGACCAGCGTGACGCCCATTTTGCGCGAGGATGTCCACTGCTTCGACGACATCAATTGCTATCCGCTGGCGTTCGGTGTGCCCGCCGTCCTCATGATTGTCTCGGTGGTGATCTTTGTGCTGGGACGACCGCTCTACAAGATCAAGCCACCCGCCGGCAATATGGTGGTGCTGGTGAGCAGCACCATCTGGACGGCCCTGACCACCAAGTGCAAGGAGAAGAAGACCAATCCGCGCGAACACTGGCTCGATTATGCGGACAGCAAGTACGATCGCCAGATGATCGACGACGTTAAAGTCCTGATGCGTGTTCTGTTCCTCTATCTGCCGCTGCCCATATTCTGGGCACTGTTCGATCAGCAGGGCTCCCGCTGGACGTTCCAGGCGACACGCATGGACGGCGATATGGGCTCCTGGGATCTGAAGCCGGATCAGCTGCAAGTGCTCAATCCGCTGCTCATTCTGGTCTTTATTCCCCTTTACGATGTCGCGTTCTATCCGGTGCTGCGACTGGTCGGCATACGGCGTCCGCTGCAGAAGCTCACCATGGGCGGCATCCTGGCCGGCATTGCGTTCATCATTTCGGGCATTGTGGAGCTCAATCTCGAGGTGAGTTAACTGGGGCCCAGTTGTCGTTGTCGTTGTCAGCTTCTTGTTCAACTTTGATTGCACCAAAGCACCAACTGTTCTACTCTACCTTCCGCTCTCTCTCTTTCTCTCTCTTCCTCTTCCACACCCTTCCGCTCTCTGCTCCTTGCACGACTTGGTGTCGCTGTAGAAAACCTATCCCGCATTACCCTACAGCTGGAATGCGCAGCTGCGCGTCTTCAACACCGAGGACTGCACCTACAACTTTGCCAGCAACAGCGACTCGCTGAAGACCTTCACCGTGGAGCCGTACAGCATGTTCACGGACAAGGATGTATTTGTGCCCGACACCTTTCTTTTTGAGTATACGATCAGCAGCCCGGATCCCGCTTGCCATGCCTATGCAGGCGGCAGCCGTACCCTAACAGATAAGAAGGCCTGGTCTCTGTTCCTGAACAGGCGCAACATTACCGGCGAATCCTTCTGGGAGGAGGACTTTGTGAACAAACCGTCCGACAGCTATCCGCTGATCCGCATCGTCGGCAACGTCCAGCAACAGCGACAGATTGTATTGAAGAGCAGCAAGGAGAGCTACGAGTACAATGCCAACGAGACGTACCGACTGCGCGTCTCCTCCGGCAATTACGAGATCTCCATCGACAGCCAGACACTCGGTACGGTCCACGCGCACACCGGCGGCGTCTATACCCTGCTGCTCAACGAGCTGACCTCCGGCGGGTATAGCTACAAGCTTGTCGAGGTCACGGAGCCCAACTCGATGAACATACTCTGGCTAATACCGCAATATGTGGTCATGACATTGGGCGAGGTCATGTTCTCTGTAACGGGCCTGGAGTTCTCGTACGCGCAGGCACCGCCCAGCATGAAGTCCGTACTGCAGGCCTGCTGGCTGCTTACGGTCGCCTTCGGCAATGTGATTGTGGTGATCATTGCGGAGGCGGCGCTCTTCGATTCGCAGGCCAGCGAGTTCTTCCTGTTCGCGGGCCTCATGTTCGTCGACATGCTGCTCTTCATGTTCATGGCCTACAACTACAAGCCAAATGACCCCAACAGGGTCGAGGAGGCCGAGCCGCTGACCAACGGCGACAATCGCCAGATCAAGGCTCTCGAGACGGGCGTCGACAACAAGGGCAAGGAGATCGATGGCTAGGCCACGCCCCACCCCTCCTCTAATGTTGTGTATTATATATATATAAAAACGAAAAACCCTCCCTTCCCCCTTCCTATGATAATTCATATATGTACTTTGTGTCCAATTTACAATGTAAGTGTAAAGCTCTGCCCGGGTCAACGATCCACGCAGATCGGACGGGTCGGGCGTTGTTGAATATGCCAAGACATAAATTTTAACTAAACTAATCTTATATAAATAAATCAAAAATTGTAATCATAGTTGTCTCTCTCTGTGTTTGTCTTTATCTCTCTCTTGCTCTCTCTCTCTCTCTCTCTCGCTGCCATTCTATGCCTCTTCTCTATCTTATCTGCACCTCTCTCCTATCTCCCATTTCCTATCTCCCCTTTCCTATCTGCACCCTGGCCCAGCGCCCAAGATTACAGTTTTCCAAATCCCTCAAGCTTCCAATGCGTAGACAAGGTAGGTGTACAGTGAATGCACGCTTGAGCGGACAGCCACGGCTCTACTCTATCTACTGTCCGCATAAAAGAATATGTACGGGAATACATATTTGTATCTTCGTATATCTCTATATATGAAGCTGTTTGTAGTGACTGACTGACTGACTGATTCATTGATTGATCGATTGATTGATTGATTGATTGACAGACTGACTGATTGACTGACAGACTGATTGACTAACTGACTGACTGATTGATTGACAGACTCATTGACTGGCATAAAGAGTGACTGATTGCCTGGCTGACTAACGGATTGACTGACTAACGGACTGATTGACTGACTGACTGACTGACTGCTTGATTGACTGACTGATTGATTGACTGACCAATTGATTGATTGACTGACTGACTGATTGATTGATTGATTGATTGGCCGATTGATTGACAGACTGACTGACTGATTGATTGATTGATTGGCCGATTGATTGACAGACTGACTGATTGATTGACTGACTGATTGACTAACTGACTGAGTGACTGGCTGACTAACTGAATGACTGACTGACTGATTGACCGATTGACTGACTGACTGACTGACTGATTGACTGACTGATTGACCGATTGACTGACTGACTGATTGATTGATTGATTGACTGACTGACTGAATGGTGTTCCACCTTGTGTGATGTAAGTGCCTGGTAAGACGTTCCAATGGTATCCAATGTCAATGACAATTATCTTAAGACTCGAGGTGGATTTGCTGGCTGTGGAAGGGCTTCGCTCAAGCGAGTGTTTACTGTAGCTAGTCCGATTTTGCAGCGCACCTATCCGATTGTACCAGGCGCTGGCAGCACCCAGCTGCGCATCTTCAACGGGATACCCGGCTGCGATTACCGGGTGAGCAGCAACCTGGCAGCCGGGAGCAACATCACCCTAATTGGGATCGACTTTTACGCCAGCGGCAACGTGGCCACCGGCAATGGCAGCTTTACGCTCAGCTACGGCATTGAAAATCTGACGGCAGGTGAGTTGGCCAAAATGGAGGGGTCGAATTGAGCGGAAGTGATCCATGGCAGGGTGGCATTGCTTGCAGGCTGTCCCAGGCTGGACGGTGGCACCCAGCTCCTGTACGAGGCGACGGCGCACACGCTCTTCCTGCGCTCCGCGCAGACCGTGACCAAGCTCTGGTACGTGGACGAGCTGCAGAAGTCGAACAAGTCCCTGGCGCTGGCTCGCACGCTGGCCAACTTGCCGGCCAGCACCCGGATCCAGTGGAGGGAGGTGAAAACTGGCAATACGGCGCTGGATATGCAGGCACGCGGCCACGATCTGCACGAGCTGAGCACCATTGAGTACGAGGTGCTAACGGGCGAGGTGCTGCTCCATCGGCAGCTGCTGCGCCCCGGCGGCGTCTACGCCCTGGTCATTGGCCAGGCCAGCGAGGGCTACGTATCGCGCATGTTCGAGGTGACGGCGTCCAACTCGATGAGCATGTTGTGGCTAATACCGCAGTATGTGGTCATGACATTGGGCGAGGTCATGTTCTCCGTAACGGGGCTGGAGTTCTCCTACTCGCAGGCGCCGCCCAGCATGAAATCCCTGCTGCAGGCCTTCTGGCTGCTCACCGTGGCCTTTGGCAATGTCATCGTTGTGGTAATTGCCGAGCTCAAGTTCTTTGAGTCGCAGGCGAGTGAGTTCTTCCTGTTCGCGGGCCTCATGTTTGTCGACATGCTCATCTTTATGTGGTTCGCCTTCTACTACATCAGCTACGATGAGGCAGCGGCTCTGGAGCAGAGCCAACGCAGATCCAAACAGCGAAAAAATCTAAAATGTCATTAGATGCAACATATTATATTTTTTTTAAATTTATTTATCTACAATTATTTATTCAATATTGAAATCTAAACAGCAGTTTGTGCAGTTTACAATTCAAATTTACCGCCACTTAGGTGTGACCAGAGCAGAGGAGAGCTAAGGAGAAAAAATACTTTAGACACACACACACTTTGCCATTAAAATGTCATATGATTCAACACATATATATATATATTGAGTTAAGTATACAAATATCGTGTATGATTGCATTTCAAACCTTAAAAGTATTCAATCTATGTTCATATAAATAAAACTGATATATATATACACTTTTTCGCTTACAATTCAAATTTGGCGCCATTTCAAAGTGACCGTAGTCAAAATATGATTTCGAGCACATGCACATTGCCAGGGCTGGCCAACGCTGCGCCGCGAGCTGCGCGCACACAAGTTGGCAGGGCTGTTGGTCATTTGACGTTGGGCATTTTTAGCACTTTTTTCGCTGACGGTGAAAAAAACGAACAAGAAGAAGAACAGTTGCAATCATATGACTTGTCGATCGATAGAGAAATAATAAAGGTTGCAATTTCGTGAACGCTGCTACGTTGGAAAAGTTAATTTCCATTTAACTCAAACAGCCGAACGAGTGCCAAACTGTGACCAGCAGCCAACTCCACCAACCACAACAACAGTTGAAGCGCATTTCCAACCATCTCACTCACACTCTCTCTCTCCCTCCTCTGCGTGCGTGTGTGTAAGTCACAATAATGGACAGCTCGGGATTCATGTTCAACGTTGACAATGGCTATCTGGAGGGCCTGTGCCGCGGCTTCAAGTGCGGCATACTTAAGCAGGCGGACTACCTGAATCTGGTCCAGTGCGAGACCTTGGAGGGTAAGTTCCAATTCCAATTCCAATTCCAGTGGCCTCCGTTTGCCCAGTCACATGACTAAATCAAGCACTGCTATCAGCTCGTCTATGTATGCGTGTATGCGTGTGTGTGTGTGTGTTTGATTGTGTGCGTAAGCTTGCCTTGTGATTTGTTGTCATACTACCCTGTTCATATGCCGAAAAGCGAGAATATTGCTTTAATCCGTCGATAACGCCCACTAAAATGATTGCGGCCACATTTCACACATAATTTACCTATTCTTGAACTTTCAGATCTGAAGCTGCATCTGCAGGGCACGGACTACGGCAGCTTTTTGGCCAACGAGCCGTCGCCGCTGTCGGTGTCCGTGATCGATGACAAGCTGCGCGAGAAGCTGGTAATTGAGTTCCAGCATATGCGCAACCATGCGGTTGAGCCGCTGTCCAACTTCCTGGACTTCATCACGTACGGCTATATGATCGATAATATCATATTGCTGATTACGGGCACGCTGCACCAGCGTCCCATTTCGGAGCTGATACCCAAATGCCATCCGCTGGGCAGCTTCGAGCAGATGGAGGCGATACATGTGGCATCGACGCCCGCTGAGCTCTACAATGCTGTCCTGGTGGATACGCCGCTGGCGCCGTTCTTTGTTGATTGCATCTCCGAGCAGGATCTGGACGAGATGAACATTGAGATCATTCGCAACACCCTGTACAAAGCCTACCTGGAGGCATTCTACAACTTCTGCAAGAACATGGGCGGCTCCACCGCCGATGTCATGTGCGAGATTCTGGCCGTAAGTTTGTACATTACAAAGTCCGGCATCGAGTCAACCCAATCGCACTCGAACAAACAAGCCCGAACATATACATTGCTGACTCGAACAGGTTGAACTGACTTTAAGTGAATTTGTTCGGCTCGATTGAGTATCTGAGTTTGCAAATCAATTAAACGATGCCGGGCTCTAGTCTAAATGATGTCCATTATATATTTCTATGCTAATTCTTGTACTTCTTTAGTTCGAGGCTGATCGTCGCGCGATCATCATAACGATCAATTCGTTCGGCACGGAGCTCTCGAAGGACGATCGCGCCAAGCTGTACCCCAACTGCGGCAAGATGTATCCCGATGGATTGGCAGCGTTGGCGCGCGCCGACGACTACGAGCAGGTGAAGACCGTCGCCGAGTACTATGCAGAGTATGCGGCGCTGTTTGACGGCTCCGGCAACAATCCGGGCGACAAGACGCTCGAGGACAAGTTCTTCGAGCACGAGGTGAAGCTGAACGTGTTCGCGTTCTTGCAGCAATTCCACTTTGGTGTCTTCTACGCGTACCTAAAGCTCAAGGAGCAGGAGTGCCGCAACATTGTCTGGATCGCCGAGTGCGTCGCCCAGAAGCATCGCGCCAAGATCGACAACTATATACCCATATTCTAAGCTGCCCTCGATCCGATCCGATCTGCGGCCCCCCACACCACATACAACATATTTTTTAAAAGCAATTTTTCTTTCGTGTCGTTGAACATACAATTTTTTTTTGTTTTTTTTTCTGTTTGTTTCCCTGTTATGCAATTGTTAATGTGTACGTATGTATATTATTATTATAATATGATACTATTGTATATGTATTCTTGTTTCGAGTATTATTCCAACAATCTGTTGCTGCACGAAAGTCTTGTTAGGTGCAACGCAGCTCCAAAGGGCGTCAGATTCCCATTCCCATTCCGATTCCGATTTCGGACATTACATCTACTATAAAACAATTGTTAACTCTTTCGAACATGCAGCTGCGCATTAAATATAAATATAAATATAAATAAAAATATATATCCATATATCATATTGTGAAAATAAACCAATCTGTTTTAGTATATTTCAGTGTATGTACTTATAAAAAATGAAAACATTGCTGAGTTCTACACATTTAAAAGTATATATATTTAAAAAAGAGCTGACTCCTATGTGAGATAGACTGTCTCAATATGGAATATGTCTTGACGAAACATGATGTAGCCTTATCATAATCAGTCCACCATATCTTAACGCTCCAAGATAAACAATCCAATGATATGAACAATTATTTAATTATGCTCTCAACCTATTTACACAACGTCAGCATCGACCTTTTATTTCAAGTTGATGTTCAATTCCTATTTCTTTTAATCTTTTTGTGCAAACTTTTCTGTTTCTCAAGATCTCAACCAAACTTTCACGTATGCATTTCTTAATATGGGAAAACTTTAGATAGAACCTCTAGAAACAATCGGTTGCAATTGGAGTACGGATATGATTTAGATGCCATTCGAATGATGGAAACATGAGTTTTTCATGCTCCATTCCAAATCCTACTCCAGCCAAATCTATTCGACTACTATCTCTATAAATAAAACTGTTTGTCCTGACTGAATGACTGAATGACTGACTGACTGACTGATTGACTGACTGATTGTTGATCAACGCACAGCCCAAACCGTAAGAGCTAGGAAGCTGAAATTTTCACTATAGTTACCTTATGTGATTAAGACGGGAATTCGGGAATTTCCACTCGCAAGTGTAAAGAAATCGGGAATCAAAGATTTGTTGATTTGCATATATGTACATGTATGCCTGTTTGTACAAACATGCATGCGTACATGTATGTATACATGTCCGCAAACCTGCATACATGCACACATACATATGTACATACATGCACATATATACATGCATGTATGTGCATATCTATATATGCATGCATATGTACATATATGTTTGTGTGCATGCTGCATATGCAAATGTAGGCATGTTTGAATATATGTATGTATATATGTTTGTTTGTATATATGCAAAAATGCATATATACATGTAAACATACAAACATATGTACATACAAACGTACATTAAAATGTACATACATATATACATACATATGCACATATATACATACATACGTAGATACACACACATTCACATATATACATACATACATGCAGGCTAGCATGCATGCATATATACATACATACATGCATGCATGCATGCATACATACAAAATTACATACATGCATGCATGCATGCATACATACACACATACATACATATATACATACATACATAAATACATACATATACTTACATACATTGGCATACATCTACATACATACATACATCTACATACATACATACATCTACATACATATCTACATACCCGCCCTGCCTCCTCCTGCTCCACCGCATGTACATATATGTATACATGTCCGCAAACCTGCATACATGCACACATACATATGTACATACACGCACATATATACATGCATGTATGTGCATATCTATATATGCATGCATATGTACATATATGTTTGTGTGCATGCTGCATATGCAAATGTAGGCATGTTTGAATATATGTATGTATATATGTTTGTTTGTATATATGCAAAAATGCATATTTACATGTGTACATACAAATATATGTACATACTTACGTACATTAAAATATACATGCATATATACATACATATGCACATATATACATACATACGTAGATACACCCACATTCACATATATACATACATACATGCATGCTAGCATGCATGCATATATACATACATACATGCATGCATGCATGCATACATACAAACATACATACATGCATGCATATATACATACATACATAAATACATACATCTACTTACATACATTGGCATACATCTACATACATCTACATACATATCTACATACCCGCCCTGCCTCCTCCTGCTCCACCGCCAAGGCCTCCTGCACAGGCCGTTGGAGCCAACGATTCCTGCCTTGTTGAATTTCAGCAAAGCCTACTTGAATTCTTGAGAATCGAGGAGGAGAGCACTTGGTGGAAATTCGTTTCATTTGAATTTGCGGCACAGCGATAAATAAGCTTCGTCTGCGTTTGGTATTAGAAAACGAACATGCAAACATACATACACACACACAAACACACACACAAACACACACACACACACACACATATACATATATATAAAACTTATAATCCTTCGTACAAAAGGCTTGCATTGTATAACTCTTCAGGTTGAATCCCGCGAAAAATGAATTTAAGCATCGGAAATATTTCTTTTTCCACGAATTTCGTGATAAATCTTAATGCGCTATGATTTAAGCCATTTAAAAGCAGACGGTAATTCTGGAAATTCTGGCTTAGTGCTTATATTAATGGGAATTCTCTGCGAAAATAATAGAATGATTTTAGATATTAATCGCTTTGGCCAGCCACGAATTGCAGCTCATTGAAACTGCGATTGCAGCAGCGAAAACTCAAGGTCTTTTGAAGCCAATGCGCACTTTACCTGTGTGAGTAATGTGATTTCCTTTTGGTCACGTAGCGTCGCTTCTTTGTGTGGGAACAGAGTTCAGAGCGTTCTCTAGCCGGGTGACTCAAGGCTGCCAGGGTGCGGCTGTTTGAGTCACAAGGAGCTCGTGGCTAGACAATGGCAGCCCCTTGTCCGTATTCCACGATCAAATAAGAAAATCACAAGCCACAACAACGACTCATTACCATTGGCTAGTCGATGAAGAAGAAGAAGCAGAAGAAGAAGAGAAGGAGGAAGAGGAAGAGGAAGAGAGTTGACTTATTGTCCAAGTGGCACGAATTACAGCCGTCTGTTCGATCCAAAGTTAATTATGCAAAGCGGCCGAACATGTCCATCTCGCATGTTGCGCCCGTTAGCCAGAGGGCGCCGAAGTCACACGCACACACACACACACACACGAACACACGCACGCACACATTTGCAGGCTTGTGTGCGTACGTGCGTCTCCGTTAGGCCGAGCAGGTGGCAACACGTTCGAATCAAAAAGAAAGCCGCGCTCAGCTGAGCCGCAACCTTGTCTTGGAGTCTTCGAGTCGAGCTTCGGCGCAAGTTCGGTTCGTTCGGTTCGGTTCGAATTGCCAATAACTCGACTCGATGTCGTTTTCTCAGCGCAGTTCTGTTTCGCGTCTCCAAACGTTGAGTTCACTCCAAAAAAAAAGAAGTTTTTCACCTGGCACCCGACGACACCCAACGGATAAGCTCTGCGCGCGCGCCGATCTAAATTATAAAGATATTTTTTTTTTTCAAATTCTTTGCCGTTATATTGCTGTGAACTATTTTTTTTTTTGCTTTACTAATAAGTATAACAGTGCTTGTTGTTGCTGCTGCTGAGGCGCCAGGATAAAAAAAAAAAACACGTGTAAATAGGTAAATTGGAAGAATTTCGAAAAATATTTAATTCAGAATTTTAAAATTTTGGCTATTGAAGTGTGAAATGCGGCCAGCAGAACACTTACCTTGGCCAAAAGCAACAACAATGACGACGTCGACGTCGACGTCGCAGCTAACGATGACCAGGAAACCCACAAGCAAAAACCAGCAATGTCCAAATGCACGTAAAAGTCGCCGAGAAATTGTGTCAACCAGTTTGTTTGCGTGTTGCTGTCGCCGTCGCCGTCGCTGTCGCAGTCGCAGTCGACGTCGCGTTTGCTGCCAGCGTCCGCTTCTGTTTGGTGTTCTTCATAATGTCGTCGTTGTTGTTGTTGTTGTTTTCGCAATTTATTTGAATTTTGCACTCGTTTTACTTTCTAGCATTGATCATCTTGAGGATATTTTATTTGTGTTTCTTGCCTGTCCTCCCCCATTCGCAGCTATGCCAAGAAACTTCCTCTCTCTCTCTCTCTCTCTCTGTCTCTTTCTCTCTCTCTCTCTCTCTTTGCCTGTCACGCTAAATCGGATCCATGTAAGTCCATTCACAATGAACTTTTGCCTGCAGCCAGTCACAGAACATGCACAAAAACCTGCTATTCCATTGTGAATACGCAAATGCGCGTGTGTGCGTGTGGCCAGTGCATTTAAGCTGGGCCTTTGAAATGGCGCACAGCCGCATTGCATTGGCTTATTCCCATGTTCCGCACCTCGCACGCCGCCGTCCAAGCCGTCTCGCCCATTCATCAATCTTGCAATTTCATCTCTCTGGCGGCATTGAATGCGGCTACTTAGCCGTGTGCCGATAATCGGCCTATTCGACTTGATATCGTAATTTCTGGTATTACGATAGCTCACATCGAGTCCAATTTTCACCCACAATGCGGAATCACATCCAGCGCCGGGCTTGTTCAAGAAAGTGACACGCAAATTATGCAAATTGCCCAGATGTGTGTGTGTGCGTGTGTGTGTGAGTTATGTAAGCCATTGCAGGATGTAAAAGTCGGTAAGGCGGCTGTTTAGCATAATCGTAGCAGTCCGAAGCAATATGAAAATAAGATTTTGGCATAATCAACAAAATTAATATATTATTTTTTTTAAATGCATGTGTTTTAAACCGAAAATCAAACAAAAGCAAAGCAAAAAGTGAACACTTTCGCTGCGTGGACCGTTTTTCGGTTTCGATTTCGAGTCTGATTTCGATAATCCAGGCGCCTTTGGCTTAAGCGCTGCAGACGACGCATAATTAACAGTTTTCGGTTTCGATTTCGAGTTCGATGATAAACAAGCCTGTGGCCCCGCCTCCGCCTCAGCCACCGCCTCCGGCTCCTCGGCGCATGTCTTATGATAATTTTGATTAAAGCTAATGTTGTTGTTGCTGTTGCTGTTGCTGTTGCTGCTTACTTTCTATTTTCCTATGCGTTTAATAATTAATTAATGCTAATAACTTTTCACAACCGTTATAATTTATTGACAAAAATAGAAAATATGCGCCCTGACAACACAACACAAATCAAATCAAACAAACAAACAGAAAAAAAACTCACACACACACACATGCACACGCGCACTCACACAGACACACGTGCTGCTGTTGTTGATGTTTTTGGTTGTGTTCCAAATGCGTCAAATGCAAATGAATCTGATTATGAATACGAATATGAACCTCATAAGGCTGTTACGTATTGGAATGCCAGTGAAATTATGTGAAGCAGTAAACAAGAAGAAGAAGAAGAGGAGGAGGAGGAGGAGGTAGAAGCAGCGCACATGTCGAACCGCTGCCAATTGGCCCAATTGAACAACACGCTGACCGCTGCCCAAATTCGTTAGCCGAATGCAGTAAACAAATATGTGTTCTTCAATCTGTTCACAGTTAGTGCAGCCAATCACCCAACCACCCAACCACCCACGCATGTGCCGGACAATATGCGCATCAATTCCGATATGAATGTGATTCCAATTCCAATTTGAATTCAAAGTCCCACTTTGAATTCCATGGCCATGGCCATTTGAATGTTTACTGTTATTGCGGCTTGGACAATTCTGCTTCTGGCTCCTGCTGCTGCTGCTGTTGCCACTTGCCGCGACTTGTTTTCGCATTTGGTCACATACTTTCTTTCCACTAATAGGCTGACAACAGCAGCAGCAGCAATAACAACAACAACAACTACGAAATCAACAACGGCATCAACAATTGGGTTACAAATTACTGTTTTTTGCGGTTTTCGTTTCGTTTCTTGTTGTTGTCCAGTGGTGGTAGGTCATTCTGTGAAACAAAGCTGTACTAATTACACGCGTGCATCTCCCTGTCTCTGTCCCTCGTTTTATTTCGCTTGCTCTCTCTCGCTTGACCATAAGAGCTGCACAAATATTATGACACTGCAAACCCCTCCCCCCTCCACCCATCCAGCAGCAGGCTCTTCTTTCGCGCGTGCATTTTCGGGATTTGTTCTGAAAAGCTGCCTGCTTGACTGAACGCACCGTGGTGCGCCATATTGTGGTGCAGGCGCGCAATAAGGAGGAGAAAATATTTTGAAAGAAAAATACTTGGTGCGAAAAAAGCCTTGTAATACACACTACTACACACGCATAATGCACCCACCTGAGAAATATATTGATGAATACATATACAATGTATACACATATTGTTTTTTAAGTGAGCAAATGTTATGGATGATAACCACTGTGCGCATTCCACATTCACGCCCGGATTCCAGATTCGAAATATTCGAATCTTATTTAACAGCTAATATGCATGTTGAGCTTTCTCTCCCTCTCCTTCGCTCTGCCGCTCTGCCGCTCCGCCGCACTTGCGGACAGTTGTCTAAGCTGTTGAAAGCGAGATCGAAAAAACGATGCTCTAGCTCTCAAGCGGGGCTCACTATGCCGCTTCTGGCCGGCGGGGGGCGCTACACCCAAGTGGTTCAATGAGTCAATGTCTAAAATTTCACTTTGCCCAGAAAGAGTCGTGCTTCAAGCTGGAAATTTAATTCCAGCTTTTTGGCTGCTGCCGCAGACCATCGGTAGGGGAGAGGGGGGGAGGGGTAGGGGGGGGGGGGAGCGGGTACATTCTTACAAGCCGTTGCCCAAATCAATAGTCAATTAAATAACTTCGTTGCTGTCTCATCTCCTCCTCCCCCTCCTCCCCCAACCCCACCTCCACCTCCTTCTGCTCGCTGTTGCTGGTCATTTAAGATTTCACTCTCGCTTTTGCTTAGCTTTGCTTTTGTCTCGTTTGGCCTTTGTCTTGGACTTGGGCTTGGGCTCTTTTGTCTTTTGTTGCGGCCTCTTTTGTGTGTTTGCATTCGCATTTGACACAATATTTACGCATTTTCGAATTTCGATATGCGCTGCCCATGCTCTGCCCGCTAGATGGCGCTGCTAATTTGTTTACTTTGAAATTCGTGCAATACTCCCCCTCCGCCCCCCCCCCCCCCGCACACCGTTTACCCAGCTACGCTCTTATTATTTCGCACGGCTCGTTGAGGGAGAAAGAAAGAAAGAGGGGAAGAAGGAGAAGCGCATGGCAAGTGGAAGAAGAAATTATGTCAATATTTATTTAAATTCATTTCTTTCTTTAGTTCACGCGAAAAAAAAACAACAAATGAAAAAAAAAACAACCGAAACGGTGAAATTTAATCGCGCGCCTCTGAAAGTGATTTTTTGTTGGGCTTTTTGTTTGCATTTGGAATACTTTTTTGGGTGAAACCTCGACGCCGATTTAGTGCTAAATAAAACGAAGTGCCCACAGCTTGCCCAGCTTCCGTCTCAGCCGTCGCCTCTGACAAACTCTTCCCAATTCCCAATTCCAAATTCCAAGTCCAAAAGGCGAAAAGGAGGGAGTAGAAGAAGAAGAGAGTAGCCAGTGTTGGTCAGGACGAGCTCCTTAATATGATTGGCAGCACTGTAAACATATTACTTGTACTTGAATTGAACTGCGCTTACGTATAGAATGGTGAGAGAGGGAGGGAGAGAGAGGGAGGGCGAGGGAGGAGAGACAGCTCAAGCCCGCTTCCCAATTCGCCGCTTCAATCCGAGTTCAAGTCTTTTCCTAATTCCCATCTCCAAAGTCCAGAGGGAGAAGTACAGGGTCGAACTCACCAATTTGATTGGCAGCACTCTAAACACATTCCCACGTTTGCGAATAGGGTGGAAAGAGAGAGAGATGGAGGGGGGAGAGAGAGAGAGAGAGTGGCAAATGGGTAGAGACAGCTTAGACTCCTTCTCAGCCCCATCTCAGCCTTATCTCAACCCCGCTTCTGGGACCGCCAATTTGATTGGCAGCACTGCCAACACTTTTCCACGTTTACGGATAGGGTGGAGAGAGGGAGAGGAACTGGGCAAACCGAGTCCTAATGCCAACCGAGTCCTAATGCCAATTCTCCACTTCTCCACTTTCCGTTGCAGTTCCAAGATGAGCCACGCCCTCGGCCGCTCGCCCCTTTTGCTGGTGCTGCTGCTGCTGCTGGGAAGCGGCGCGCTGCTTTCCGTGGACGGCAAGACCGTGCATCGGCGCACGGACAAGATATCCGAGAACTTTAAGCAGCTCGATTTGCCGCCCGAGGAAATCGATCCGAATGTAGCGCCGCCCGAGACGGAGCCACAGAAGCCAGCCGCCGCAGATCTGCCAGCGCCGGAGACTGCGTCCGTGGTGGATGCAATTGTGGATGAGAGCGCCAACGAGATTGCCAGCGTGGATGCGGCACCAGCTGCCGCCGCCGCCGCCGTCGCAGAGATAACCACGGCCAAGCCGAAGCCGACGACGACGACGACGACGACGAAGCCGCAGGAGGATGGGGAGAAGAATCCGATTAGCCGTTACTGCAAGTGCTCGGAATCGCATTGCGACTGCTGCCGGAAGTTCGGACTGCCGCTGCTGCCGAGCGGGCCGGGCTGCGCCAAGATCTCGTATCTGGGCAACGACGAGATGAGCGTCTCGCTCAAGTTCGGCGAGATTACGCTCGCCTCGCGGCGCATCTCCAGCAAGCGGGCGCGTCCCATATGCGTGGGCATGCCCGGCGGCTATTCGAAATTCTGCGGCCGGGTCTACGGTCTGTCGCGGGCCAAGGAGAACTTCAAGGCGTGCCTGGCGTTCGAGCTGCGCGCCGAGGACGAGGTGGAGGCCCAGCTGCCCATCTCCTGCTTCAAGTTCGGCGCCGAGGGACTGCGCGTCGCCGAGGCGGAGCCGCTGCCCACCAAAATCAAGCAGGAGGAGGACGACGACGATGACGACATCTTCGGCTTTGGCGGTAAGTCGATGAGGCCTGCATCCGATCTCGATCCTGACCGACTCTTTTTTAGCTGGTGGCGACGACGACGACGAAGACGAGGACGAGGACGACTACGACGATGGCGATGGCAATGCCGAGCCCTCGGCGGAGGACGACGACGCCGACGCCGACGACTATGCGGAGGATGACGACACTGAGGCGCCCGAAGATGCCGACTACGGCGGCTTCAGCCTGGGCGGCCTGCTCGACGAGCTCGACGACGACGAGGACGACAAGCCCAGCAAGAAGCCGGCCGTAGCCGCCAGCCCGGCGGCCGCCAGCCCGGCCGTCGTCGACCAGACGACGCGCGAGCACGTCGAAACGGATACGGCCCAGAGCAAGGATGAGGCCGGAACTCCCGTCGCCGCCGGCGAAGCGCCTCCCGTGGTTGAGGAGGCGCCGGCAGCGGCAGCTGTGACTGCGTCGCCCGTCGAGGCCACCACGGCCAAGGTGACCAAGTCCAAGAAGGCGAAAAAGAACAAGAAGAAGAAGAAGAAGGCAGCCAACGATACGGCCGGAGGCGGGGGCGGGGGCGACTTCGCCTACGAGCTGCTCAACGGCATTCTGGATTTTTTCAACTGAGCGGCCAGCGCGAATTCGCCAACATGCTTGGCAACACTGTAAATACCCTATATCGACGTTGAGCTGCGTTTACGGACAGAGCGCGAAAGAGAGACAGCGAGAACGACAAAAGAGAGAGAGAGCGAGAGAACGAGTGAGAGCGAGAGAGAGAATAATGCCGAGTAGTTAGTTTCTAATTTTGCTAACTTATTTATTTATACTTATATATATACGTACGTATTTATTCGACCCATCTGGCAATACCCCGAACCCGAGCACGACATCATCCCAAATTGTACTCATCCAACATTTAATTTATTTAAATTAATAACGAATTAAATAATGCTCAAAACGTACGTACACACATTTGTGCCCACGGCCATTTCGTTTTATTTTCCTGTAATGCCTGGTCAAGTAAAAACATAGGCACAGTCTTTCGATACTTATCGATCTTATGCAAATCGATAGGCACAGTTCTACGATATTTATCGATCTTATGAAAATCGATAGACATAGTTCCTCGTTACTTATCGATCTTATGAAAAACGATCGACATAGTTCCTCGATACTTATCGATCTTATGAAAATCGAAAGACATATGTAGTTCCTCGATACTTATCGATATTATGAAAATCGATAGACATAGTCATTCGATACTTATCGATATCATGCAAAACGATAGACATAGTTCCTCGATACTGATCGATATTATGAAAATCGATAGAAGAAGAACTGACAAGCTCCTGCGAATGAACGTGTGTGACATCAAGCCCTTCACACATCGACTTGGACTATTTTCATTTACCATTCCTCGGCGATTCTTACTTGCTGTGCACTCCACACTTGGTCGGAGCAGGGGGCGGCAGCATCTATTAAAAACATAGTCGCATCCGATAGGCAGCTGCTTCGATACTTATCGATATTGTGCAAGTGGAGTTATCGATAAAAGTAATTGATAGGCTCTTGCGTATGAACTTGTGTCACATCAAGCTCTAAACAAATCGACTTCGACTACTTTTACTTTCTATTTCGATACTTATCGATATTGTGCAAGTGGAGTTATCGATAAAAGAGAATTGATAGGCTCCTAATTGACAACAAGCTCTTCACAAATCGACTTCGACTACTTTTAATTACCATTCCACGGCGAGTTTAACTTTCTATTTCGATACTTATCGATATTGTGCGAGTGGAGTTATCAATAATAAGAATTGATAGGCTTCCGCGTATGAACTTGTGTCACATCAAGCTCTAAACAAATCGACTTCGACTACTTTTACTTTCTATTTCGATACTTATCGATATTGTGCAAGTGGAGTTATCGATAAAAGAAAAATTGATAGGCTTCCGCGTATGAACTTGTGTCATATCAAGCTCTAAACAAATCGACTTCGACTACTTTTACTTTCTATTTCGATACTTATCGATATTGTGCAAGTAGAGCTATCGATAAAAGTAATTGATAGGCTTTCGCGTATGAACTTGTGTCACATCAAGCTCTTCACAAATCGACTTCGACTACTTTTACTTTCTATTTCGATACTTATTGATATTGTGCAAGTGGAGTTATCGATAAAAGAGAATTGATAGGCTCCTAATTGACATCAATCTCTTCACAAATCAACTTCGACTACTTTTAATTCCCATTCCACGGCGAGTTTTACTTTCTATTTCGATACTTATCGATATTGTGCAAGTGGCGTTATCAATAATAAGAATTGATAGGCTTCCGCGTATGAACTTGTGTCACATCAAGCTCTAAACAAATCGACTTCGACTACTTTTACTTTCTATTTCGATACTTATCGATATTGTGCAAGTGGAGTTATCGATAAAAGAGAATTGATAGGCTTCCGCGTATGAACTTGTGTCACATCAAGCTCTAAACAAATCGACTTCGACTACTTTTACTTTCTATTTCGATACTTATCGATATTGTGCAAGTGGAGTTATCGATAAAAGAGAATTGATAGGCTCCTAATTGACATCAAGCTCTTCACAAATCGACTTCGACTACTTTTAATTACCATTCCACGGTGAATTTAACTTTCTATTTCGATACTTATCGATATTGTGCAAGTGGAGTTATCGATAAAGAGAATTGATAGGCTTCCGCGTATGAACTTGTGTCACATCAAGCTCTAAACAAATCGACTTCGACTACTTTTACTTTCTATTTCGATACTTATCGATATTGTGCAAGTGGAGTTATCGATAAAAGAGAATTGATAGGCTCCTAATTGACATCAAGCTCTTCACAAATCGACTTCGACTACTTTTAATTACCATTCCACGGCGAGTTTAACTTTCTATTTCGATACTTATCGATATTGTGCAAGTGGAGTTATCGATAAAGAGAATTGATAGGCTTCCGCGTATGAACTTGTGTCACATCAAGCTCTAAACAAATCGACTTCGACTACTTTTACTTTCTATTTCGATACTTATCGATATTGTGCAAGTAGAGTTATCGATAAAAGTAATTGATAGGCTCTTGCGTATGAACTTGTGTCACATCAAGTTCTTCACAAATCGACTTCGACTACTTTTACTTTCTATTTCGATACTTATCGATATTGTGCAAGTGGAGTTATCGATAAACAGAATTGATAGGGTTCCGCGTATGAACTTGTGTCACATCAAGCTCTAAACAAATCGACTTTGACTACTTTTACTTTCTATTTCGATACTTATCGATATTGTGCAAGTGGAGTTATCGATAAAGAGAATTGATAGGCTTCCGCGTATGAACTTGTGTCACATCAAGCTCTAAACAAATCGACTTCGACTACTTTTACTTTCTATTTCGATACTTATCGATATTGTGCAAGTGGAGTTATCGATAAAAGAGAATTGATAGGCTCCTAATTGACATCAATCTCTTCACAAATCAACTTCGACTACTTTTAATTACCATTCCACGGCGAGTTTTACTTTCTATTTCGATACTTATCGATATTGTGCAAGTAGAGTTATCGATAAAAGTAATTGATAGGCTCTTGCGTATGAACTTGTGTCACATCAAGCTCTAAATAAATCGACTTCGACTACTTTTACTTTCTATTTCAATACTTATCGATATTGTGCAAGTGGAGTTATCGATAAAGAGAATTGATAGGCATCCACGTATGAACTTGTGTCACATCAAGCTCTAAACAAATCGACTTCGACTACTTTTACTTTCTATTTCGATACTTATCGATATTGTGCAAGTGGAGTTATCGATAATAAGAATTGATAGGCTTCCGCGTATGAACTTGTGTCACATCAAGCTCTAAACAAATCGACTTCGACTACTTTTACTTTCTATTTCGATACTTATCGATATTGTGCAAGTGGAGTTATCGATAATAAGAATTGATAGGCTTCCGCGTATGAACTTGTGTCACATCAAGCTCTAAACAAATCGACTTCGACTACTTTTACTTTCTATTTCGATACTTATCGATATTGTGCAAGTGGAGTTATCGATAAAAGAGAATTGATAGGCTCCTAATTGACATCAAGCTCTTCACAAATCGACTGGGACTATTTTCATTTGCCATTCCTCGCCGACTTGTAATCTCTATGTACTCCAGACCTGGTCGGAACAGGGGGCTGGCAGCTAAAAGACGCCTTGGGAGCAGCTCTGACCTGTTCCTAGGGCAATGGCCGGGCAATGGGGAGGCGCTCCAAGCCGGGCGCTGAGATTAAGTGCCGCACCATTTGTCAAAATGCCGCCAAGGCAGCCGCAGACGCAGACGCCTCCGAGGCGATGGGCCAACTTTTAATTAGAAACTATGCGTGCTAGTTGCGAGTAAGTCCTGATAAATGGCAGCTCCTCGGCCAGCTCCAGCTCCAGATCGTCCCCCCCCCTCGGTGCTGATATTTCCACATACTTGGCAGCCGCTTTTTCAGTAGACATTCCAATAAAGTATAACAAGATTATTTTTTGTGGTTTTTGTTTTTTGTACTTTTTTTTGCATTTTCATACATATATAAATTTTTATTGAAACATTTTAATTGTACACATTTGAGTAAAATATTTTGTATGTGCGTTTGTGTCTGTTTGTGTATTTTTGTGCTAAACTTTGCATTCAATTTGATTGAATGAACAAAAATGCCTTTCTCTCTTTACAATTATGAATTAATTCATTAATTTTTATGCCCATGCAAATTCCGTCCGTTTTTTTTAATTTTCAAGCTGTGGATTTGAGCCCCATTTGGGGTCCCATTTCCCCCGACAATTTCCGATCAAGTGTGACACGTTCCTATTGATTCCGTTGTGCGATTTTTGGTCTGGCTTGCGCCATACAAAAATATAAAAAAAAACCACTAACATTCTACATACATAGCCGAACTCTGAATACGCTTTCGAAGAAGGAGAACATATATCTGTATCTGTGTATATCTGTGTGGGCGTGTGCGTGTGTGTGTGGTATATATGTATGCTTTTATAAAGTTCAAAAATGTGAGTTTCGGTTATCGCATATATAATATTGTTCACATATCCAAAGTTGTAGATTTTAGTGTATACTGTATTCGTTATGCTTATTGCCTATGTCTACACTGCCCGTCCTCTCGTCTCGGCAACGGTGGAAAATTCGAATTCGAATTCGGTCACATTCGCATTCGTAAATACCCTTTTGAAATGAAGCTAGCCGACTTACGGGTTGATCTCAAAAAGTGTTTTCTCAAAATGGACAATTGGTATTTATCATTTTCACTCGATTCGATCCGATATAGTATTATTATAGGTATTATTAGTTAGTTAGTATATGGCGGCAACTTTGCTTCTATGGCAAAGGGTACATTTTCCACGGTTTCCTGATACTCAAGCGACCGGCAGGGTATCCATAGTGCGCATATATATATATATATATAATAATTTAATATATTTGGTTAATTAACATGTATAAGTGTATATAATATAAGTATATGTGTATATATATATATATTTGTAAGTATTTGTAAGAGACACCGAAAAGGGCATTTAAAACCCGCGCCTAGAGCGTAATTAAGTTTCAATATGGTAAATATTTTGGATTTTGGATTTTCGATTTTCGATTTTCGATATCGATTTTCGATTTTCGACTTTCGCTTACGATTTTCGATTTCGAAATTCGGGTTTTCATATAATTTCGTTTGCGTCACAACTCGCAGCTATAGCACGCATTAGGGTCAACATTTTTCATTTGCACTCTTTCGATTTGTTGTCAAAACAACAAATATGAAACTTAAGTTAATTTCTAATTTAACATTATAGTTAGTATAAAGAGCAAAAAAATGTCAATCTCATAGGATTTGATCGATTTATGTATGTATATATATAGCTTATATATAGTATATAAATTTGTATAATCTTAAATTGTATACATTTATATAGATATACATATATATTTCTTTTGTATATGTGTTTGTATCGGTTATCATATGTATCTCCATCGACATATGAATATAAATATTATAATATAAATATTGTATAAATATATTTGTAAATATATGTGTAAATATGTATGCATATGTAATCCCCTACGAAATGGGTTTGGTGAAATGCGTCGGGGAAAGTTTGATCGAGATGGAAATTCGTCGAAAAAGGTATACCAAATCCAAGTTCCTGTTAGTTAGTTAGTTGGTTAGTTACTGTGGCCTTTTAATCAGTCTCGATTTTGTAAAAAGTTCCGTAAAAAGTTTACAGGTGCGTGCGGGTGCGGGTGCGGGTGCAGGTGCAGATGTGCAGATGTGCATTTATGTGCTGTTGTCGTTAGTTCCTATTTCCCAAAGTCCGTGCGCTATAGAAACAGCCAACATGGCCATATCCCCAGGCTTAATGATAAATTTGTGCCCTCTAAATACCCTTACAAATAGCAATCCCAATGCATTCGCTGAGTCGTGTGGCTTCCTGATATGCTCTGTATGTGTGAGTGTGCGTGCGTGTGTGTGTGCGTGTGTGTGTGTGTGTGTGTCTGGCTTCTAGATATGTTTGCGTGCGTGTGCCTCTGTGCCAGCTGCTGCAACTGTATTAGTCTACTCTCCAACTTTCCGTTGTCTCCTCTCTTTTTCGGCCTCTTTTCACGCGTGTTAAGCATATGTGTTTGTGTGCGTGTGTGTTTGTGTGTGTGTGTGTGTGCGTGCGTGTGCCTCTGTGCCAGCTGCTGCAACTGTATTAGTCTACTCTCCAACTTTCCGTTGTCTCCTCAATACTCTCGTTGGGCCTCTTTTCACGCGTGTTAAGCATGTGTGTTTTTGTGTGTGTGTGTGTGCCAGCTGTTGCAACTGTATTAGTCTAATCTCCATTTTGCGGTTGTCTTCTTCTCACGCATGCTAAGCGTTTCGCTTGCTTCGTTGTGCATTCAACCGGTTCACTTGACCGGTTCACTTGACCGGTTCACCTATTGGCCATGTTTTCCATTCTTTTCTTGCAATTGCTTCTCTCCGCCTCTCCGCCTCTCCTCCTCCTCCTCCTCCTCCTCCTCTTCCTCCTCTGCTTCTTCATGTTTCGTGTGCGCTTTGTGCCGGAGCTTCGCTCATTTGCTCAATAGCTAAAATTCCCCCTTTCACTTCTCCCCCCTCTCGCTGTCATGCTCCAACCCTGTCTGTCTCTCTCTCACTCACACGCAGCTCCGAAGTGCTGCGATGGATAATCTACTCTAGTTCCATTTTAGTTTTTTTTTGTTGTTGTTGTTTAATTTTATGGCGCAGCTCTAAAACGCACCTTGACAATTCTCTGGCAAATATTTTGCGATAAAAAACACTTCCTGCTCTCGTTCGTTGTGCCCATTATACATATATATATATCTATACCAGAACTATATAGTATATATAGGCGAGCACATGCGAGAGCAATATTCCTTCCTCAGATAAGACCTAATTAAAATTTCAATTTTTGCTGCTACCTCAAAAAACATTATACGATCGCAACCATCACGCGTCGGGGCATATACATATATATACATATATATATCTATATCTATATAGTATATACTCCCCTGTCAATCTTTTGCAGTTCTTTGTGGCGGCTTAGGGTTACATACATACATGTATGTATGTCGGTGTGTCTCTGAAAGATGTCTCCATTTCTTGCCATGCTCTGGTCACATATTCTTCGATCACATTCTTCTTCTTCTTGTATGTATCTCTGAGGATTATCTCAAGATCCCGTTATGCCCGCTAAGCCAGCCAATCTCCTCTTGCCGCACTCTGCCAGTCGGTTTGCGTCCTATGTTGTGATTGATTGATTGATGGGCTGCGTTGCAATGATGGTGATGTACATATATGCATGAATGTATGTCGTCTGTTGGTGTAGTGTAGGATTAATTTTATAATCGGTAATTGAACAGTTTACAGTACTGAGCACAAGCGCATTAATTCGAAGCATGCGCCCGACTCTAGACATTTAGTTAATGGATAATTGTTTTGATTATACATCAATAGGTTAATCAATCATATTTAATACTAATATGTGGCTAGAGCAGGCTGCAAACAAAATAGGGAACTGCGCAATGAGCTGAGCTTCAGCCGGGGCTGCGAATCGGGCGAATCGGTTATGTGGGAAACGTCTTTCACGGTTCTAGTCTGGTTCGTGAATCGTGAACCAAACCAGGGACAAACTGCGTTATACGTTTCGCAGCCCTGGCTGGCCCAGCTTAAAGGCTTTAAAGTCTAACCAACATTCGACAGTTCCCTGGGCTCGACTCATTTGATGTGCCTGCTCTTGGCCTAATCCCTGTATCCAGTTTCATATTTCCGTAATACAGCGGTACAAGCAATTGTAAGCGATATTTATGCTTAAAGTAACTTTTATGTGCAAACATATCAATTATCTTCAATTATATTAGAATATTTCTTTTTATTATTAAGCCATGGGTGTGTTAAGTGTGTTAAGTGTGGATGAGTGCTAAGCTCATCTTCCAAAAATCAAAATGAGACTAAAAACTTGTCTCGCTAGGTCAGTTTGCTCTGACGCGCCTTTGCCGAACTCCGTGCAGGGTATTGCCGTAGTCGGTTCTACCCCAAGCACACACAAATGGAGTTCGTCATTCGAAACCAATCCAAATCCAATTTTTGTTTATACCTTTGTAGAGGATATGGAAAATATTCTTTTGAAGGAGTGGGAAACCCAAGTATTCAAATCGGACGACTATAACATATTGTTGTATAGGAAGAATCGGTTCAATCATTTCATCTGTTTACCAAGCTTATTTCCTTCAATCTCAGAGAGAGAGAGAGCATAGTTGGAAGAATCGGTTCAATCATTTCACCTGTTTACCAAGCTTATTTCCATCAATCTCAGAGAGAGAGAGAGAGAATAGTTGGAAGAATCGGTTCAATGATTTCATCTGTTTACCAAGCTTATTTCCATCAATCTCAGAGAGAGAGAGAGAGAGAGAGAGAGATAGTAAAAAGGATATGAATATATTCCTTTGAAGGAGAGGGTAACCTATTGACATCGGAATCGGTCGAAAAATGTGTTTTTATCTGAGAAAGTTTTTTCGGTTTACCAAGTTTATATCCATCAATCGTGCTACAAGGGTATTAAATAGTCGGCCTGCCGAATATATTCGTTCATTTTCTTTTTGATTTAATTTGTTTAAACAAAATGTGCCCAATAATTGAATGATGTTCAATGCGAGCAAAGGTATACGTTGGGCTTTTCTATTCGTATACCCTGTTTTTGCCCGCCAAATGGGTTATTTTGATGCCAGATATTACAAAAATATTATAATAAAAGAAATATAAATCAAATTATAACCCTGATATAATGCTAAACAATCAAGAATGCAAATAAAAACATTTTGTTGCTGCTGCTGTTTTTGTTGTTGCTGTTGTTTTTGTTGCTGCTGTTGTTTTTGTTGCTGTTGTTGTTTTTGTTGCTGCTGTTGTTGTTGTTGCTGTTGTTTTTGTTGCTGCTGTTGTTGTTGCTGTTCTTTTTGTTGCTGTTGTGTTTGTTGCTGTTGTTGTTGACGGCGTTGCCAGACAGCCAGCATGTTTTCACATTGATATTTGGTGTGCTTATCGTATATCGATAAATTTTGGAATTTTGTTTTGTTTAATTTCATTTCAAAAGGTTTTCATTGAAAAATTATTGTCCGTTTTTTTAAGTAGCTGGCAGCGACAGCGCCGTCCCGCCGCGATAGGGACTTTCATGAAGATTTGAACATAGGTGGGGCATAAACTATCGACAAAACTAATCGATTAATGGCAAACCAGAGAAACGATACGAGAACAACAGCCTTTAATTTTTATGCAACGTTTTCGGATATTTGTACTAATTTGGTCGAAAAGGATTTAAAATGTAATTTGAATTTTACCGAAATCGATAAACTAATCGATTAATGGTAAACCAGAGAAACGATACGAGAACAGCCTTTAATTTTTATGCAACGTTTTCGGATATTTGTACTAATTTGGTCGAAAAGGATTTAAAATGTAATTTGAATTTTATCGAAATCGATAAACTAATCGATTAACTGGAAACTAGAGAAACGATACGAGAACAGCCTTTAATTTTTATGCAACGTTTTCGGATATTTGTACTAATTTGGTCGAAAAGGATTTAAAATGTAATTTGAATTTGATCGAAATCGATAAACTAATCGATTAATTGAAAACTAGAGAAACGATACGAGAACAACAGCCTTTAATTTTTATGCAACGTTTTCAGATATTTGTACTAATTTGGTCGAAACGAATTTAAGATTTAATTTGAATTTTATCGAAATCGATAAACTAATCGATTAATTGGAAACCAGAGAAACGATACGAGAACAACAGCCTTTAATTTTTATGCAACGTTTTCGGATATTTGTACTAATTTGGTCAAAATGAATTTACAATGTAATTTGAATTTTATCGAAATCGATAAACTAATCGATTAATTGGAAACCAGAGAAACGATACGAGAACAACAGCCTTTAATTTTTATGCAACGTTTTTGGGTATTTGTATTTGGTCGAAACGAATTTAAGATTTAATTTGAATTTTATCGAAATCGATAAACTAATCGATTAATTGGAAACCAGAGAAACGATACGAGAACAACAGCCTTTAATTTTTATGCAACGTTTTCGGATATTTGTACTAATTTGGTCAAAATGAATTTAAAATGTAATTTGAATTTTATCGAAATCGGTAAACTAATCGATTAATTGGAAACCAGAGAAACGATACGAGAACAACAGCCTTTAATTTTTATGCAACGTTTTTGGGTATTTGTATTTGGTCGAAACGGATTTAAGATTTAATTTGAATTTTATCGAAATCGATAAACTAATCGATTAATTGAAAACTAGAGAAACGATACGAGAACAACAGCCTTTAATTTTTATGCAACGTTTTTAGATATTTGTACTAATTTGGTCGAAACGGATTTAAAATGTAATTTGAATTTTATCGAAATCGATAAACTAATCGATTAATTGAAAACTAGAGAAACGATACGAGAACAACAGCCTTTAATTTGTATGCAACGTTTTCGGATATTTGTACTAATTTGGTCGAAACGAATTTAAGATTTAATTTGAATTTTATCGAAATCGATAAACTAATCGATTAATTGGAAACCAGAGAAACGATACGAGAACAACAGCCTATAATTGTTATGCAACGTTTTCGGATATTTGTACTAATTTGGTCGAAATGAATTTAAAATGTAATTTGAATTTTATCGAAATCGATAAACTAATCGATTAATTGAAAACTAGAGAAACGATACGAGAACAACAGCCTTTAATTTGTATGCAACGTTTTCGGATATTTGTACTAATTTGGTCGAAACGAATTTAAGATTTAATTTGAATTTTATCGAAATCGATAAACTAATCGATTAATTGGAAACCAGAGAAACGATACGAGAACAACAGCCTATAATTGTTATGCAACGTTTTCGGATATTTGTACTAATTTGGTCGAAATGAATTTAAAATGTAATTTGAATTTTATCGAAATCGATAAACTAATCGTATAATTGAAAACTAGAGAAACGATACGAGAACAACAGCCTTTAATTTTTATGCAACGTTTTCGGATATTTTTACTAATTTGGTCAAAATGAATTTAAAATGTAATTTGAATTTTATCGAAATCGATAAACTAATCGATTAATTGGAAACCAGAGAAACGATACGAGAACAACAGCCTTTAATTTTTATGCAACGTTTTCGGATATTTGTACTAATTTGGTCAAAATGAATTTAAAATGTAATTTGAATTTTATCGAAATCGATAAACTAATCGATTAATTGGAAACCAGAGAAACGATACGAGAACAACAGCCTTTAATTTTTATGCAACGTTTTCGGATATTTGTACTAATTTGGTCAAAATGAATTTAAAATGTAATTTGAATTTTATCGAAATCGATAAACTAATCGATTAATTGGAAACCAGAGAAACGATACGAGAACACCAGCAGCTTAAATTGTAATGCAACGAAACGGATTTTGGATTTGAATTGATTTGGTTTATGACATAGGCAGAGGGTGGGGCATAAAATATCGATAATGTTATCGATTAATTGCAAACTAGAGAAACGATAAAAAAACAGCGATGGTTTTTGATTTGCTTGGACTAACGGATAGCAGACAAATATATTCCCTGTAGTTTTGTTCGATTTTGTAAACAATCTATAGGATTCGAAATATCGGCACGCCGAATGGACATAGAATCTCTGATGGTTCTATGCAAAATGCTCAATTTGATTCAATTGAGACACACTGTCAAAACGAACCAGTGAGTATATAGTGTTCATGTTTCCCCACCTAATGCTATTTATACTAAAAAAAAAAAACCTATTATATAGCTTAATCTACCCAATATGCTTGGTATTTAGTTAGTTTTTAGTATTTGTTGGATGTAGGATATATATATCAGCGTGACTAAGCCACATTCCGATTTGAATTTGACCTGGCCCATAGCCCCCCCCCTAAGCGCGCACCTCCGCGTAACTCCTCCAGCTGAATCAATATACATAGTCAGTCTTTACCTCAGGTTAGCCTCACTCTCGCTTAGATGACAAACAAATCGCTGCAGCTGGAGGAGTTGCGTCTCTTCAGGTTCCTCTTGAAGCGCAACACAGTGGCCAGAAAGATCCTAGTCCTAGCCGTCAGCTTGGTCACCACCTTCCGGTTGCAATCGGTCGGCGCCGCATTGGAGTCATCATCATCATCATCATCATCATCATCATCATCGTCGTCGTCGTCGTCGTCGTCGCCGTCGTCGTCGTCGTCGTAGTCGTGCAGGCCAATGTCAAAGTCGAGAGCTCCGCTCGAGTGGCGCCTGGCGGATGCGGAGGATGCGGCTGCCGCGGCCGCTGCCGAGGTGGATGGCCCGTTTTCGTTGAAGTTGGACCGAGCCCGACGCTTGCGGATGTTCGCGGCGAGCTGCTCGAATTTGCCGAGTGCGCTGGTGTAGCCATGCCGCGAGTCGCTGCCCATGTCCTCATCCTCATCCAGCTCGCTCTCGCCCATCCGCAGGATGTTCTCCAGTTTGAGGGCGCGTCGGTTTGCCCGTCGCACCTGTTGGCTGCGTGCCGCCGCCGCCGCCGCCGCCGCGGCAGAGGTGCTCGGCTCCATGCCAAGCTCCTCATCGCTGCCAAGGTCCTCATCCTCGCCCTGGCCCTGTCGCACCATGCGCCGGGCCGGCAAATGCATGTGCCGATGATTCTGTATTGTGCTCTGCAGATTTAGACGCTGCAGTTCCACGTCGCTGAGCAGACGGATTCGCTGCGGATTGAGCTTCACCTGGGCGACAACGCCCACGAGCAGCTCGTCGACATTGTGATCGATGCCCGACGATGTCTCGATGAATTTGCATGGAATTTCCTTGGCCAGCTTGCGGCCGACTGGAAAAGCTGACATGACAAGAGCCTGTCTGGGATTTAGTTTAAGGATTGCCTCACTCACCTTGGCGCGACACCTCGCGATGACGCTCCAGATCCGTCTTGTTGCCGACGAGAATGGCGCCACGGGCCAACAGCATGTCGTTCTCCTTCAGGTAGGCCAGCACCTTTTCGGCTGCCTTGAAAGAGCCCCGATCCACAACCGAATAGACAACCACAAACAGATCAATGTTGTATGTGGCGCAGAAAGCCTCAGTCTTCAAATGGAGAACGATTACGATTACGATAACGATAACGATAACGATTACGATAACGATTGGAAGAAAATAATAAAAGAAAAAGAAAGCCTCAGTCTCGAATTAAAGAACGATAACGATTACGATTCCGATTGGAATAAAACAATAAAAGAAGTAAAGCAAACATCCAATTTTCATTTTTAGCTATATATAATATAAAAAGCCTCGGTCTTAAATTGGAGAACGATAACGATAACGATTGGAAGAAAATAATAAAAGAAGTAAAGCAAACATCCAATTTTCATCTTTAGCTATATATAATATAGAAAGCCTCGGTCTTAAATTGGAGAACGATAACAATTTCGATTACGATTCCGATTGGTAGAAAATAATTAAAGAAGTTAAGCATACATCGCTACTTTCATTTGTATCCCTCTATAATCTCTCTGCGCTACTGTTATCCTAATAGAACTCATCTATTTGTTGCAGTAGATGCGACTTGATCAACCGGGTAGGTCTGCTATATCATCTAGATGTCATAGAAATCATGGGCTTAAAATCTAGTTGAAGTATTTATATTTTTATATTCAATTTTTCAAGATTTTGCTCCGTTTAGGAGCTTTACTCATATCGTCGAAATCCTCGTATTATACTCCTGTAAAAGTAATTATAGTTTTCTCATAGCAAATGCAATGCTTGAATCGAAACATTTCCGACATAATATATACTTTATATATACTTGAAAAGCATCTGAAGCCAAGTCAAGCCCTGTTTCTATGCAAAAGACTTCATCTGTTTTAAAGCTTAGCTAGACACATTAATAAATCAATGCGCTACTCAACACTTAAGCGGCAATCCTCAACGTTTTGCTACACTAAACGAGGTGAGGTCGAATCGGAAAACTTCATTATATAGCTGTCATTATATGACAATCGGTCGAAGAGCATTAAATTCTACAATTAGCTAGTCCCCAGCTAGACATATACACAAATAGATGTTGACATTATTTAGCAGCAAATTGCGCTACTCAACACTTAAGCGGCAATACTCAACGTTTTGCTACACTAAACACGAGTGGGGTCGTGGTCTGTGGGGCTGCGCGCAAAAGTAGGCAACAGAAATTGTCAATGCAATTTGGCGACAAAGCGCACACACACACGCACACACACGCACGCACACGCACACACACACGCACACGGCATGCCAGTGTGAAAAGACGTTTATAAGAATGTAATGCGCGTTGGCCTTTTAGCAGCTGGTATAAAAAAAAAGTGTTAATGACATTTGACAAAAGTGTCGGCCAACAACTCCCATATGTGTCTGCGTGTCTGCGTGTGTGTGTGTCTAGTGTGTGTGTGTGTGTGTGTGTGTGTCTAGAGGGAGCTCTTAGCCGAGAAAGCGTCGATGTTTGACCCAGTCATCCTCAGAGCCTCGGAGCTGGCCGTATACTCACCGACATTTCACAGGCCGGATGATCAATCATTTCGAGGTCCGTCTCAATGTTGTCGACCAGCACGGAGACCGTTTTCCGGCCGTAGTCATCATCTGTTTTGAGGGAAGAAGAAGCAAACGAACAGATTACAGCAAATTAGCGCATTTCATCGCAATTTCAACTCAAGTCAAGTTCTCAGCTCGAGTGGTTTGCCCTGATTCATTCCAGCTCAAGCACAACTAGGCACTTGTTTGTGCGGATTAAAGTGTGCACACTCAATTTATTCTCATTTCTGTGCATATCTATTATATCTGATTCTATTCGACAAGTGCGCACTCAGATTGTGCAATCAGTTCGGTTTCAACAAAAGCCGCCTTCGAGTGGCAGCTAATTCGGCGAAAACTGCACTCGAGTGTAGCTCATTACGGCGCTAGCCAACACTGCGCGTTGTCTCAGTGTTGTGTTAGTACTTCAAGCTTGCAGCTCGCCTATGAAAATCCTTGACAAGTACGCAAAATGAATGAATATGGATATTCGCAATACAAAACACTTTAATGGCCAATTATGATTCGTTTAGCTGCGAGCCATGCGATTCGTGCACGCGAATTGAAAGTCTTGCATTTGATGCCAATTGCGCTTGGCAAGCCTTTGCCCGATATTCTCATTTCTGTGCATTTATATTATATATTATTCTATTCAGATTGTGCAATCAGTTCGGTTTCAACAAAAGCCGCCTTTGAGTGGCAGCTGATTCGGCGAAAACTGCACTCGAGTGTAGCTCATTATTGCGCTAGCCAACACTGCGCGTTGTCTCAGTGTTGTGAGAGTACTTCAAATGAATATTCACAATACAAAACACTTTAATGGCCAATTATGATTCGTTAAGCTGTGAGTCGCGAATTGAAAGTCTTGCATTTGATTAGATGCCAACAATTGATTGGCAAGCCTTTGGCTTGATACTTGGCTCAAATTGAGTTAATTATCGAATTGGCTGCGCAAAGGCGCATTAAAGCTTAATGCCTAGCAATTAATATGCTCAGCCACATGGGAGCCCATTGTTTCGCCAAGTCCAGTAATATTGGAATTCCGGCGAACAAATGTTGGCTTTCTGTGTAAGGACACTTCATTGTCTGTTAAGCTCCCGTCGAGAGAAGCGCGGGCCAGTTGCCTGGTAAAAATGGCAAATGGAATCGATCAAAGCTGCAATGCGGCGCGGTTATTTTTTCCCCTTTTTTTTTTGCTTTTTATCGCAGGTGGAGTATTGAGAGTTGGGCGTGACCACATAAAAAGGCGCGCGCGTAATCAATGTGATTTCATTTCGCCAGGGGGGTTAAATACCGCATCAAAAAAAAAAAGGCGTCGTAAAGTGCTGCAATCAAAATATATGTGCAAGTCACCCAGCTCCAGCTCCCCCCCGTTCACTTGCCACCACACGTAGACCGCCCGCTGCAACAGATAACAGACACTGCAGGTCCTTTTGGGGCCAAGCAATGCAGGACTCTAGATCAAACGTTTTTTTCAGCTGCGGCGGCCGCAGCTTCGTCCTTCCCCTTTTTGCATGTCGCAAGCAATTTGCACACAAATTGAATGGCAAACACTAAAGCGGCATTTTGTTGGCGGCTCCCAAAAAAGCATGCTGCAATTTGTCTCTTTGTTATACCCTGTACTTAACGAAGCAGCAATGGGGGAGCTAGACTTGCAGGAGAAGGTTTGTGGCTTAGGTAGCTGAGCATTGGATTTGACTAACTGACCAATCGGAAAGGGTTTCTGGCTTAGTTATCTGAGCATTGGATTCGCTAGCGAGAAGTCACCGGTTCAACTCAATTGTTTTCTTTGTTATACCCTGTACTTAGCGAAAGAGCAATAGGCCTTTCAGCTAGTAGAGCTAGACTAGAAGGAGAAGGGGTGCGGCTTAGTTATCTGAGCATTGGATTAGGTAGAGAGAAGTCGCCAGTTCAACTCAATTGTTTTCTATGTTATACCCTGTACTTATCGAAGGAGCAAGTAGTAGACCTAGACTAACTGACCAATCGAAGAAAGTTTGTGGCTTAGGTAACGGAGCATCGGATTAGCTAGCGAGAAGTCGCCGGTTCAACTTTCTGTTTTGTGTTGTTATGCACGAAGAAACAATCATTAGGACTAGCTATGGGAATGATTTGAGCCGTGCAACGCCAGGTAACTTCTTCTTCTGATCAGATCTATTCGCTGAGATATCTCTGAGCCCAACTCAATCCGAAAAATCCGTTGAAGTCGGCCGGATCAGAAAATTATACCTAAGACCTTATAAGCCAACCAATGAGAACTCGATTGCTTTACTCGGTCGGGAAGAGTATTTAATTGGGAGATATTCGTTGTGTAGCTTGTTTATGCGATTAGTCATGCAGCTAAAAGGAGCTGGACTCGCATTCGAGTGCAATTACCCGCAAACCAGGGCAAATAATAAATCTAAGCTTATAATCTAACCATTGAAGCATATGTGTGAGTGCGGAAATTGTTGGGGATAACAGGATTTGGGGGGAGGATTGGAGGATGGGGATGGGGACAAAACTGTGAACAGGTATCGGATTGCGGATGACGCTATTTAAAGAAATCCCATTTTCTCGTTACGAAACTAATAGATATGAAACACAATGCTAATTGCAAATCGCGCTGCCAACTCCAGTTGCCTCAAAATGTCAAGGTTCACATATATTTATTGACGCAAATACGCGATGTGTGCACAATGATACCTGGCACAGAAGCTGGCGCAGATGCTCGCCCCATTGATGTCATTTATATTCGCAGAAGGATACGCAGATATTGTGTGTATTGTATTGGGGGGAGAAAAATTCATATTCACATTCACATTGACATTCACATTCGCATTTTTTCCTCTATTTGCTTTCGATTTTTTTGCGCGCAGCTCTTAAGACGTCAATGCAGCTTTCAAACACGTGCGCACACACGCGGACAAAACGCGCGGACAAACAGGTGGACAAACAGGTAGACAAACAGGTGGACAGACATGATCCCCCCCCCCCCCCCATAACCCCTCACGCCACGCCCACAGACGCGCACTTGAAACGACAGTTAGTCTATGTGCATTAGTGGCCAGCCCCGAGCATGCAATGGCCGTGTCGAATTCAGGGTTAGAACCAGCGCCCTCTCTCCCTCTCACTCTCACTCTCTCGGTTTCGTGACCGCCGCTTAACACAAAAACTGACATATTGCAGAACGAATAAACTTGATAAAATGTTCGAGAGTTGACTCGAATGTGAACCGATTACACAATACTCTGTTTCAAGTTCAATAATGCCTAAAAATTACCGAAAATTAGATAGCTTCTAAAACGGTAAGCAGTGGCTTTCCAACTGTGGCGAGAAAGTTGGCAAAATGTCCATAAGCTTAGGGTCTAAAAGATTGCCGAAAATTAGATCGATTTGGGTGACTCCAAAACTGTCAGCAGTGACTCTCCAACTGTGGCGAGAAAGTTGGCAAGTCCTGGTCCAGGTCCAGCTGCAGCTGCAGTTGCAGCTCCTGTCCAAAGCTGTGGCCGAATATTGCCGCCTTTAGAGCTGTCATTTGTCGAGGGTATATTTTGCGCTCCAAAAGCACCACAGCAAACGAACCGTAACCAGGGCAAGACAACAACAACAACAAGAAAAGAAAAAAAAAGGGGGGAAAAAAAAATACGCTAATGCAGGTGCTCCATAAGCTGCATAAGCTCTTCATTGGAACTGAAGCGAAGAGCATTCGATGTGACAACCAAAACGTAATTCCACACGGACTCGGACTCGGGCGACTTGGGGCAAATGGGTCTTCAATGGAAAGGCAGTTCTCGGAATGCATTTAATTGTTAACTGGTGCAAGCTAATAAACTGCAGAAAGTTTGCAATAATTTTCAAGTTTGACACGCAGCCATTGCAAAACGGACCCTAATCAAGTTTTTGGGGCAGAAACAGAAGCTAAATGAATAAACATTTTTGGTGACAACTTTTCTATAGGATTTGCCGGAACTCTGAGCTGTGGTGCCATTTCTTGCGAATAGCAAGAAAAACAATTGCTTATACCCAGCACTAAGATGAATTCAATGCAACTCTCCCGCAATTATACTAGGAAATATTCCTGGCCGGAGCGTTGTTGCCTGCGCGAGCCTTCCTGCTAAATCTGGCCAGGCTCCTATACAAAATCGAAATTGTTCAAAATTCAGGCGAAGAGGATATGCGCGAGAGGCTTTTGCCATTTTGGCCAAGAATGCCTTTTGCCTGTATTCAGTTCGACTATCCGAATATTCCCAAACAAATATTCCTGCACTCTCTGCATTGTGCGAGCGAGGCTCTATTCAAAAAGCTAGCCTACAAAACAATATCATTCGATTTCAAAGGAATAATTCTGCAAATTTCATGCGAAGGATATGAGGACAGGTGATGCCTTTGCCTTTGCCTTTGCCTTTGCCTTTACTCGGACGAAGCTCTATTCAAAAATCTAGCCTACAAACCGATGACATTCGATTTCAAAGGAATAGTTCGAGTAGTGAAGAGAAATTTTTGAAAATTCCTGCGAAGGATATGCGAGAGCCTTTTTGACTAACAATGGCGACAGGAGTTGCCTTTCCGAATATTCCCAAAAAATATTCCTTTATTCCCAAATCTAGCCTACAAACCGATATCAATCGATTTCCAAGGAATAAATCGAGTAGTCAAGAGAAAATCTTGTCCAAGAATCACGACTGGAGTTGCCAGCTGCTCAGCGATTACAGGGTATAAGAGCCGAGCAGTAGCTCAGCAACTGTCGTATTTGCAGCTTGTTCAGTTTATGTGCGTTAAACGTACACCAACAATAGCCCCTGGTGCCACACACACACACGCACACACACGCAGACACACACTCAGACAAATGCAAGCAGGACAATGAACGTTGCGTGTGGCATAAAGTTGCTTTGTTGCTGCTGCTGCAGCTGATGCAGCTGCCTCTTTGACTCAAGTGCTAATTAAAAGTTGGGGGAATTTCATTCTTGGCTTGGCTGCATCCCGCATGCTGTTGAGGCTTTGGCTTTGGCTTTGGTTTTGGCTTTGGATCTGGGCCAACAATGCGGCTGGCAACATTTGCAACGTGCTAACATTTCGCATGCCCCAGTGCCATTTGCAGCTCCCAGCTCCCAGCTCCCAGCCACATCCACATCCAGGTCCCTGTCCACGTTCTCACCGGTTTTTTTTATTCCCTTAGTCATACATCATTCGGTGGGCGGGCGCGATTTGGCCCGCAGGACGGACAGGACGGCAGTCCCGGCTCCTTGCATGCACTTCCGACATCCGACATCCGACATGCGACGGGCTGCGGGCTGCGGGCTTTTGGGTCAGGCCAAGCCGGGACACGTGTGCGTGGTGCATGCATTAGCCAAGTGCCAGCGACTAACTAATTGCAGTCAAGCACTGACCAAAGCCAACTAATCAGCTTAATAAAACGAGCAAAAAAAACTAAATAAAAACAACTAATCCTAATACATTAAAAGAGCTTGTCCCGCCGACTGACCCAAACGGTTGCGATTTCTTTGTTTCGCCTCAAAGGAGAGCAGGTCCTTTGACAAAAACAACAACAAAAAAAAGTTGCGGCACACGGCAGCCTGCAGGTGGCCAGTTCAAGTCCAGTGTGCCTAATTAGTTATTACGCAGTTAGAAAAAGTAATAGAAATAAATTTGAAAAAAAAAAAACATATGACTATGTTGATTAAAGCCCCTCCTAAATCTAGTTTAGATAGTTAACCAAAAGGCTTCCCATATCTATCTCTTGGAGGTCTAGGAAGTCTAGGAATCGAATTCCCAGGAAGACAGGAGAGGAATTCTATATATCTGAAGACTTCAAGTCGAAACGGAAACATAAATGGGAAACTGTCCATGATAGGTAAAGCTCTCCTTATATCTTGTTTGGATAGTCAACTACAAACCTTCTCAATACATATGAGAGTCTAGGAAGTCTTGGGATCGAATTCCCGTGAAGACAGGAAGGGAATATATCTGAAGGCTTCAAGCCGAAACGAAAACAGAATTAAAACTCCTTCTAAATCTAGTTTAGATAGTCAACCAAAAGGCTTCCCATATGTATCTCTTGAAGGTCTAGGAAGTCTATGAATCGGATTCCCAGGAAGACAGGACGGGAATATGTATCTCTGGGATGTCTAGGAAGTCCAAGACAGGAATATATCTGAAGGCGTCAAGTCGAAACGGAAACATAAATGGGAAGCTGCCTATCAATATTAAAGCTCCTCCTTTGTATAGTCAGTCAAACCTTCTCATATGTATCTCTTGGCGGTCTAGGATGGCTAGGAATCGAATTCCCGTGCAGACAGGACGGGAATATATCTGAAGGCTTCAAGCCGAAACGGAAACAGAATTAAAACTCCTAAATCTAGTTTAGATAGTCAACCAAAAGGCTTCTCATATGTATCTCTTAGAGGTCTAGGAAGTCTATGAATTGAATTCCCGTGAAGACAGGACGGGAATATATCTGAAGGCTTCAAGCCGAAACGAGTTTAAAGCCGGACTGCACTTTAGAGGCGATTCGATGGCACGAACTGCGCAATTTGTTGCGCCACGGTCAGAAATGAAGCATGCTTTTATTCCGCATCTATTTATAAATGAATGTAATCCTTTTAATAATGGGTCGCAAGTCATGCGATTGCAGCGCACAAATAGCTGAAACAGTTTTTTAACCGGTTTCCGGTTCGGATGGTATTAACAGTGGCCCGACTTAAGTAGCTCTCTCTGCGTTGCACGAGCATTAGCTGACCTAATCCCCACACCACACCACCCATTCACCTCCCGAGCGACACTCTTGTTTTTTTGTTTGACCCCGCCCACTGTGGGGCGTTGCTAAGTTGGCAAAGTTAATGAAATTAGCAGCGAGACGCTTTTCATATTTTATGAGTTTGCGGCGCAATTAAAATGCAAATGCGCCTGATTAAAAGCCACAGACACAAACCGAACCCGAACCCGCAACCCGCAACCGAATTCAAGGCCAAACCCACGTCCAAGTCCATGCTGGGGAGCACGCAAAGCTCCAGCTTTTGTCTAAACAAGTAAGAGGTTCTAGTCGGGAGCTTTAGTCTAAACAAGTAAGCGGTTCTGGTCGGGAGCTCCCGACTAGGGGATACCCTAAACCATCTTCTTCCAACAGGCGATGGGTATAAAATGAAAGATACTTTATATATATATACTATTCTAGAAGCTACATGTCAAGTTTGGCGATTCTAGCTCATATTATTTGCCGAAATCAATTTTTATTGATTACTTGGAAACGGGGCAAGTTATCGAATATCGGAAACAAACTTGATCTGCGCGGGCACTAGGAGAACCTACAGCTAAAATTTCAAGTCTCTAGCTCTTATAGGTTACGAGATCCTTGCGTTCATACATACGGACGGACAGACGGACAGGCGGACGGACTGACAGACAGACGGACAAAGCTTGATGCTGATGCTTCCTTCTGCCTGTTACATACATTTGCACAAATACATTCAGGGTATAATGATGTAAGTTTTGGCACGTGTCAAACTTACCCAGACTCAAATCGTAGGCGCATATGTAGTCCGATGTTGTGAACTGATATGTCAGCGTTGTCTTGCCCACACCGGGCCCGCCTAGCATGGCGATTTTAAAGACCGGAATCTCCTCCTTAGGCTTCTGCGGCTGTTGTTGTTGTTGTTGTTGTTGTTGTTGCTGTTGTTGTGGTTGTTGTTGTTGCTGTTGTTGCTGTTGTTGCTGTTGGTTGTAGGCATGTTGGTGCGGAGCGTGCGAAGGGTTGCCCGAAGCATTGCTACACATGAAAAGCGAAACAAGGAAAAATAATTAAAAGCCTATAATCAATAATTTACAAATCTAATAAGGCTGAAGGCAAGCCGAGGCAAGGCGAGGACTCCGCAAAAAAATTCAATCAAATGCCATCAATCTTGCTGACAGGCGAGCGTATATCCGACTAGAAAATACTCTCGCACACACAAAAACATCCATTTCCATTCTCTCTCTGCTCTTCTCCTGCCAGTCCCACACTTTGTCTTGATGAACTTTATTTATAATCAGATCTTAATGAAATGCTCAGCGCTTTATATACTCGACCTCCAGAATTCTCTATTTTTCCCTTACCTTTTGAAAATAAGGTTTACCTCAATTTGAAGCGAAATGTAAATCAAAGAAATGAAATATTTGCCAACTGTATTAACTATTCGGGAGCCTATCCTTGAGTTAGGAAATTATGTTTAAATATCGATATTTATCGATCTTATTGAGTTATCGGTAAGTATCTCAGAATTTAGATGGCGAGACGAAAGGCCAAATAGACGTGGCTATAGAAAATGATGCCAACTAGCTTTTATAATCTTTGAGCTAGAAAATAATCTCTAAATATCGATATTTATCGATCTTCTGAAAATGGAGGAAGTTATCGGTAAGCGCGTAATTCGATTGCGAGCGAAAGTATCTCCGAATTGAGATGGAGAGACGAAAGGAAGAATTGGCATTCTTATATAAACTGATTTCAAATTAGGCATAACTAGCTTTTATATGCCTTGAAATAGGAAATTATATCTCAATATCGATATTTATCGATATTAGACAAATTAAGGAGGAAGTATCTCAGAATTGAGATGGCGAGACGAAAGTCCGAATAGACATGACTATATCAACTAAACCTGATAGGGAATCCATATACTTGATGGGAATGCTTGCTTCTGCCTGCGCATTTATTCACTGTGAGAATCGGTTAAGTATACGCTCAGTTAGCCAGCTTAAAGTAAGCCCCACCGTGCATGTATTTATGGACAGACTATTGTAAATACCGTCGGACATTTAATGCGAATGTATTTATTGTTGTCGGAGATGTGTCCGCCTATTTAAGGAATTTGATTTTACGATTTGATGGGCGGAGGCGAAGGAATGAAAATGATAAAATTGTCAGGTGGGAAGCAAATAACAATAAAAAGCGAAGAATTCCTTTGACAATGCAACACGGAGTCCTCGCAACAAAAACCAGGAAAAGCTTCTCTGCAGCTGGCGGAAATTGTTTTGTGTGGAAAATGTATGAAATTAGTCTCTCTGTGCGTGTGTGTGTGTGTGTGTGTGTGTGTGTGTGTGTGTGTCGGTATGTGTCTATCTGTGTGTGTGTGTGTGCGTGCCATTGTTGTCGCTGCTTATAAACTTTGCCCTGCGCCTTGTGCGCGTCTCTGCGCTGCTTTATTGTCATTCTATAAACAATTTATTGCAACGACTTTCTGAATAACTCGCATTCGGACTCGCATTCACACTCGCATTCCCACTCATATTTCGCACTCATATTTCGCACTCACCTGTTGTGACGATCCACGTTGCTGTGGGTGGCGCCGGTTCCCGTCGATGTCACGGAATTGATCGAACGTGACCTGCGACTGCTGTTGTTGGGCGAGGCGAGGCAAAGCAGAGGAATTTGGATTAGCAGATGGAATGCAGCCTTAGAAAAGTACGAGGTTCTAGTCGGGAGCCCCCGACTAGGAGATACCCAAAACCTTCTTCTTCCGACAGGCGATAGGTATAAAATGATTATATACTATTCTAGAAGCTACATGTCAAGTTTGGTGACTCTAGTTCATATTATTTGCCGAAATTGCTCAAAAAACAGGATTTCAATATCGATTCTTATCGATTACTTGGAAACGGGGCAAGTTATCGAATATCGAAAACAAACTCGATCTGCGCGGGCACTAGGAGAACCTACAGCTTAGATTTCAAGTCTCTAGCTCTTACAGGTTATGAGATCCTTGCGTTCATACATACGGACGGACAGACGGACGGACAGACGGACACGGCTAGATCGACTCGGCTATTGATGCTGATCAAGAATATATATATACTTTATGGGGTTGGAGATGCTTCCTTCTGCCAGTTATATACATTTGCATAAATAAATTTAGGGTATAAGAGCGATGCCACGCCCACTTACCGTAAAGAATCGCCCAGGTTGCAAACGCCATGCGAAGTGATGCTAAAGCTGCGAAGCCGATAATAGTCCACATCTTCATCTTCGCCACAGTGGATGACCGATCGACGCATCTCAGCTAATCGTGGCTGCAGCATCCAACATCCAACATGCAACAAAAGCCGATTATAAAACACATTCGCCGGACTCGGCCGTGAGCGCACTCGCAGTACGAAAAAAAAAACGTATACCAAACTAACAGGCATATCCCGAGCATGAACTACTTTTCAAATTCCATATACAGCTTTTAGCCATCTGCTTTCAGATTCGCTGATAATCAGTCGAACTAAAACTGGCCGAAAATTTAGCCGAAAAAAAGGGATTTCCAAAAACGACCTAGAGTACACTGGTCGACCATGCTCTTGGGTTTCCGTTGGATTTCACCGAGTCAAAGGTCGTTATCGTTGATATGAAATCAGATAGTTGGATTTAAGTTGGATATTAGCGAGTCCAAATTAGTTATCGTTGATATGAAATAGGCCAGCTATATAGTCGAAAAAAAAAGGGATTCCCAAAAACGACCTAGAGTACTCTGGTCGACCTTGCTCTTGGGTTTCCGTTGGATTTCACCGAGTCAAAGGTAGTTATCGTTGATATGAAATCAGATAGTTGGATTTAAGTTGGATATCAGTTGGATATTAGCGAGTCAAAAGTAGTTATCGTTGATATGAAATAAGCCAGCTATATAGTCGAAAAAAAGGGGATTCCCAAAAACGACCTAGAGTACTCTGGTCGACCTTGCTCTTGGATATCAGTTGGATTTCAGCAAGTCAAAGGTAGTTAACGAGAGTACTCTAGTCGACCCCTCTTTAAAATTTAACAAGATACTCTCTAAAAAAACAGATAGTTCAATTTCAGTAGGATTTCGGTAGTTATTGTTGATATGAAGTAAGCCAGAGATATTTGTGTCATTGAAGGAGCCGTGTTCAAGCTTGCGTACACTCTCAAATAAATAAAATTGAATTCAATTATTGCTAATAGCAACGATAAGCCTATTCATTTGGCCAGAGTGTAGTCAGTGCTGTCCAATTGGGACACAAATAGTTGGTGCTTAGTTATTGCACGGAATACATTCGTATCCAGGAGATGACCAACAGAAAGCAAGTGCTTAGGTCTAATCCACCTGCCTGCCTGCCTGCCAGCCCGTTATTACTCATTACGTTTTTACGGCTCTTAGACATATTTTTTTATTTGCGCACTTAAACCCTTTGTAGCGCCTGTGAACCCGAGCAGTTGAGCATTTCCACCCATTTGAGGAGGCGGGCTATAATGGTTGCCTGACCGAAGTTTGGGATTTGAACCAACCAAAAAGACAACAGATATTCCACTCAAATGTGATTGGCACGAGAATAATAATACAAAGAGCTGGCTTTACTTGAGAGTCTCAAAAACTCGCTCGATAATTGTTACAATTTTTCCAAAATAATCGATAAATATCGATATGCAGCTCTAATTTTCTATATATTTAGTTAGAGGGCGTCTGTGAGGCGACTATTTTAACAATTCACTCAACTGTGAGCAAATTGAGTGCATGCTGCCAAATATGAAAGGAACAAATGAGATACGAAAAGACGCGAAACAGAGACAGAGCTGGCGGGGCTGGAGCTAGAGTCGGCGGGGTAGATTACTAATGGGGCGTCGTTAGGGCAACTGTGTGTGGCAACCATTTGGCAATGACTAAGCGCAACTGTCAACAGTCTCGGGTCGTCTCGGCTTTCAGTGCGGTCGTTTGCCTTCTTTGAAGCCGGGCCAAACGGGGCCGACCAGGTGAGTTACACTCAAGCAATATATATATATATATATATATATATATATATATATATATGTATATATTAGTTATGTGTGTGTGAGTTCGCTTGAACTTATGCTAGGACTATGGCAGCTAACGCCCCAAGTGCCCACACATAATTATTCGGCGGCGACTTCCACACACATCATCTCCTAGGGGGCGGAAAGGGGGTAATCCCCCCCTCGATTGTCTATCTGGCATGCACTTATCTGGTCGCTGCAGCTAATGTAATTAGTTTGTGAAATTGCTCGAGTGCAAATTGTGCAGCGTGTGCGTCGCGTCGCCTCGCGTCGCGTCGCGTGTGAAGCTGAAAACTGCAGCCGGCGCACAAAAGTAGGCAACACAAAGTGCAAGCACAGCAGCTGGCAAACAGGAATGCGGAGTTGCTGGCACCATGGGGAATTCGACATGTTTTTTGCAGCAAAAAAAAAAAGAAGCTAATAACTCAAAGATTAGGGCAGCTCTCGAGGGCGCCGAACTTTAGAATCCTTCCGGATCGTTCGTTTGGAAAATATTATATTCTTGCCGTGTGAACACAAATTGTTGTCAGCGAAGCAGCTAATTATATATATTAAAATATTTGAAAATGTCTAAACTAATCTGAAGTCGTAATAGCTATTGATTGATTCGGCCAGATTTACCAGAATGATTTGGAAGATTTTATATAATAACTTCCCTAAGTTTCTTTCTGTCTTCCACGTTCATCGTCTCCTTTTTATAGCACAGTGTGCTTAGATTTCAGAAGATTTAATTTATTCAATGTAAAACAATTGATAAACTCCAAAAAAAAAGTACCATCAATTCATTCAGGGGCCTATCTGTAGATGATCTGTTTTTAACAGCTGTTATCTTAACAGTATAGTGTTCTGATAACATTTCATGCATGTAACATTAGAGTTTGTTGTGTTTCAGAGCTGTTATCTTAAAAGTTTAGAGTTATGTTAACATTAAAGTTTGAAGTGCTTCAGAGCTGTTATCATAACAGGATAGAGTTATGATGTAATTTCATGTATGTAACATTAAAGTTTAAAGTGATTAAGAGCTGTTATCTTAACAGGTTAGTTTTATGTTAACATTTAATGCATGTTACATTAAAATTTGATGTGCTTTACAGGTGATATCTCAGCAAAATTGGGTTAAGTTTCAGTTTAACAAAGTTTTTCATCAAAAAAATATTTGAAAAATTATATGTTATTGCCAGAAAAACGAAACTGACTTCCCATGGTGAGTGCAGCAGCAGCAGCAGCAGCTGGGGGATTAGTATGGATGGGTTTTGTGTTGAGAGAGTGGGCAACAGGGGTAACTGGCACATTGACCTGCCAAACGCGGAGGGGCAGGCAGGCAGGCAAGCAGGCGGGCAGGCAGGCAGTCAGGGAGTTGACTCTTTTTGGGCAGAGCATCAAAATTGATTTGTGATGCGCATATGAAATTCGGTGGCTGCAGCAAAATGCATGCAACACTTTCCATTGAAGCTGACAACTGGCAAAATGGCAACCGGACAAACGACAAACGACAGATGGGACCGCAGTTTGAGTGTCTCTTGCCTCTCGCAACATTTTTGGTGGGGCCGAAAGTGGAATCAATGGCAAACACGTAGCGAGCGAATGCCACTGGCAGCCAGCGTAGTACCATATAAATTGCACAAGTTGAAGCCAGAAGAATGTCAAGAGTGTGTGTGGCACAAAGGTATTAAAGGACTGTGGCAACAACTGTGGCACTGGCTGCCAAAAACTTGTCTATTGCAACGAGCTGCCGGCGCCCGACGCCCGACGACCGACGCCCTGCGGCTGCAGTGCACCCTGGAGGCGTCTCACTTTTGTGCACACACAAGAAGGCGGAATCCTCAATTGAGGCTGGGCACGCGCAAGGGTAACGAAGCAACTGGGATTGAATGCGGCATTCGGTTTGGGTTAGATTCATATACCCAGCACCCATTCAAAAGGGGGTCGACTGGTTTTGTTCAACTGTTTGTAACAGGCAGTGGAAAGTATCTTCGAGTTCGAGTTTTAGAACTATTTCTCGATATATTCTCAAATTTTCGGTATATCGATAAATATCGATTTTAGAGCATAGCTCGAAGCTAGAACCTTTTTGCCAGTTTTGAGTGCTCGTTGAAATCTTATAAAGATCGCACACCGAGAATGCACGGGGCTGGGAAGAAGAAGCAAAAAAGAAGAAGAAGAATGATTACAGGTTAGAAACAGGGTATATCCAAGTCGAGCACTCCCAACTAGAGCACTCTTGCTTTACTTATATTTCTTTTTGGCAATAGGTTGAAGTGAATCCAAGTGCAAACAGCCAGAGAAATCCCCAGGAAATGTTGTATGTTCAGATACGTGTGCGTGTGCGTCTGAGTGCGAGTGTGTGTGTGTCTGAGTGTGTGTGTGTGTGTGTGTGTGTGTGAGTGTGTGAGTGCTCTTTGGGATTAGGAAGATAGACAAGTATGTTCCTTAGTACTTTTGTGGTTTGTTCCCTGGAGCTTTGTGTGTGTCCCAAAATAAAACAGAAGGCGACATTCTTGTCGAAAATGCCGCAGGAACTCGTTCTGCGCCCGCTAAATCCAGCGATAATCCCTCAAAAGTGGCAGAACTGTGATGTAATTAAGGAATTACTTAATTACTTAACACAAGTTGGTAATTGAAGAGATTGGGCAAGAGCGGTAACTGAACGGATAGTTACTTAATAATAGTTGGTAATTGGGTAAATAAATGAATTAAATTGAGCAATTGCACGAGTAATTAAAGTAATTAAGCTTGATAAGGAATTACTTAATTACTTAACACAAGTTGGTAATTGAAGAGATTGGGCAAAGAAAGGTAACTGAACCGGATAGTCATGTTGGTGATTGGGTAAATAAATGAATTAAATTGAGTAATTGCACGAGTAATTAAAGTAATTACTCAATTAGAAGTTGGTAATTGAAGAGATTGGGCAAGAGATTTAACTGAACGGATAGTCAGAGTCACTTAATAATAGTTGGTAATTGGGTAAATAAATGAATTAAATTGAGCAATTGCACGAGTAATTAAAGTAATTAAGCTTGATAAGGAATTACTTAATTACTTAACACAAGTTGGTAATTGAAGAGATTGGGCAAAGAAAGGTAACTGAACCGGATAGTCATGTTGGTGATTGGGTAAATAAATGAATTAAATTGAGTAATTGCACGAGTAATTAAAGTAATTACTCAATTAGAAGTTGGTAATTGAAGAGATTGGGCAAGAGATTTAACTGAACGGATAGTCAGAGTCACTTAATAATAGTTGGTAATTGGGTAAATAAATGAATTAAATTGAGCAATTGCACGAGTAATTAAAGTAATTAAGCTTGATAAGGAATTACTTAATTACTTAACACAAGTTGGTAATTGAAGGGATTGAAGGGCAAAGACAGGTAACTGAACGAAAAGTCAAATGTAGCTGATGATTGGGTAATGAAATGAATTACATTTAGTAATTGCACGAGTAATTAAAGTAATTAAGCGTGGATTATCTACTGGCAGAGTCCAGCATTGGGCGTGCGTCGCATCTAATCTCTACCGCTAGCTGGATAACCTTACCTTGCGACCCTCCGCTGGCATGCTGGAGGTTCTTAGACGCTGGCGTTCCGCCATGCGGTTGCCGTACTGGGCGGCCGCAATGTTGACGGAACTACCATGTTGATGATGTCCTGTGGCGCCGGCTCCAGCCGTAAGTCCGGCTGCAGATTCTCCGACGCCCCGTTCTCGGTGATGACTGCTGTGATGTTGTTGTTGTTGTTGCTGATGTTGTTGCTGATGTTGTTGTTGCTGCGAAAACTTTGTTTTTGGCACAGATGAGCGCGGGTAGTCGCTGGAATCGGCTGTCGGCGAGTCGGTGGCATCGGGGCCACTAGTTGTTGTGTCCTCGGCGACAGCCGCCAGCGCGCCGCTGGAGCCCAACAGGCATTTGTCCAGTTCATTGACTGGCAACTGCCCATTGGGCGCAGCTCCCCCTCCTGCTACTCCTGCTGCTGCTGCTGCTGCCTGCTGGAAGGTGCGCAAGGTGCAGCTTTCGATGCCGGCACGTCCAAGCGGCGATTTGGTTAGGCAGACGCGCTCCCTGCAATTAGAAAGCAGAGCACACATAGTCGACGACCCACGGTTGATAGTCGATGGTCGGACAGTTGGTGGTTAATATTGAATTGCGTTTGCATTCATAATAGGTGGGCAGGCAGGCAGGCAGCACTCGCCGATTATATGTATATATGGAGCTCATTCAATATGCGATCGCATTCCGTGCAATTAACTAAAATCGCGTGTAAGCAGGCTAGCAAGGGTTAGGTGTGCTACATTTGCTACATGTGCTACGTGGTTCGATTCGATCTAAGCTACATGATGTCCGCAACGTTTTGGCCTTTTTGTGGCCAACAATTCGACTAGCTTAGTGCATTTAATTGTTGATTTGCCAAGGGGCAAAAGGAAAAGCGTTGGCAGCCTGCCCAACATTCAAATAGCTTTCGAAAAGCATATTAAATGAATTAATAACATTCAGAATTAATAACATCCTTTTTGCTGGCTTCTCAGTCGTGTTGGACGACACAACTTTAGAGTTAATTAGATACCGATTGGTATAATTGGTATAATTGATAAGTGAATCGATTAATGCAATCGCTAATTGATTGAATATTTTTGGATTTCCATAAAACATGTAATTAGACACAAGCCGACAGCCAATTATTCGGTAATTTCAGCATATCGATCCCCTGTAAAATATTACGAACATCGATATCGATTAAAGTATTCTGCATAATTTAAGTTGAGTAATCGATAACAAGAAATTGCGAAAATAAAATACAGACACAACATTGAGGCCAATTGAATTGATAGAAACAATCGATAATTTGAGCATATCGATCTCCTATAAGAAATCGATAAAATATTAAAAATTATTTTTTGTTTTCGATAACGAGAATTTTTTGCGAAAATAAGGCCAATTAAATCGATAGAAACAATCGATCTCTGTTAAAATATCACGAGCACCTATAAGAAATCGATAGAATATTAATAATTGACTTTTTTTTCGATAAGACGAATTCTTTGCGAAAATAAAATACAGAAACAACATTAAGGCCAATTGAATTGATAGAAACAATCGATAATTTGAGCATATCGATCTTCTTTAACAAATTACGAACATCGATATCGATTAACTTAATTAAAATTAAGTAATCGATAAAACATTGAAAATTGATTTTTTTCGATAACAAGAATTCTTTGCGAAAATATAATACAGAGACAACTTTAAGGCCAATTGAATCGATGGAAAAACAATCGATAATTCGAGCAAGTCGACCCCCTATAGGAAATCGATAAAATTTTGAAAATTGATTTTTTTTTTCGATAACAAGAATTCTTTGCGAAAATAAAATACAGACACAACTTGAAGGCCAATTGAATCGATAGAAACAATCGATCTCTGTTAAAATATCACGAACATCGATATCGATTAACTTAATTAAAATTAAGTAATCGATAAAACATTGAAAATTGATTTTATTTCGATAACAAGAATTCTTTGCGAAACAATATAATACAGAGACAACTTTAAGGCCAATTGAATCGATGGAAAAAACAATCGATAATTTGGTGAAATCAATTCCGTTTCAAATGTTAAGAATCGAGAAATCGAGATCAAATGGAAAATTGAAATTTTGAAAAATCGCACTAGATTTGTATACAAAGAATTCTTTGCCAAAATACATGTAATACGAACACAGCTCGAATGCCAAATTCATTGTGTGTAGCAATCGATGAGAGGTTGCTTCGCATTTCTGTGCTATGAAACGTTGAATCGATTTTCGCAGCCCAACTTTCGAGGCGATCACAAATTGTTGCACATCTGTTGGCAGGCGTGTGCATGTGCTTGTGGGCGTGGGCGTGGGCGTGGGCATGGGCGTGGTCGTGATCGTGAATATAATCGTAGGCGTGGTCGTAGGCGTGGCTGTAGTTGTCGCTGTAGTTGTCGCTGTAGCTGTAGCTGTATAGTTGTGGTTATTGTTGTTGTGGTAATTGTTGTTATTGTTGTTACTGTTGTTTACACCGCCATTGTTTCAGAAGGGCTGACGGTAAACTTAGTTGCGGTACTCTGAATGGGGATATGGGTAATATGCTATCTAATTTTCGGGAATGGTGCAATTATGAATAATACCATATCTGGCTCCTACCTGGCACCGCTGCGGCCGCCGCGCTGCTGCTGCTGCTGCTGCTGCTGTTGCTGCTGCTGCTGCTGTTGTTGTTGATCGTCGTCGTATTGGTCGTCGTATTGACCGTAGCCAGGATCGGCGGCATGCATCATGCTGTTGGAGGCGATCGATGAGCCGCGACGTCTATTCAATATGGGTGACCTCGGTGGTGCCCACGAGCTCGGCTACAAGTTTATAGATTGGTTGTTGTTAGTGCTTGTTGGGTGAGGTGAAGTTGCCGGGCCTCTCGCTGCTTACACGACTAGAAACTGGCGCGAAACTGGCATTCAGATAATCGCTATAGCTGTTGAGTGTTGGTTGGGTCGATGTGCTCGGCTCGTCGGTCCATTCCTGCTCCTGCTCCTGCTCCTGCCCCAGCTCCGGTTCCAGCGCCCGTTCCAGCACCCGTTCCCGTTCCCGATCCCAATCATATGGCGCACTATAGCCGCCACCAACTGTCAAATGCTGCTGCACCTGCTGCTGCTCCTGCTGCTGCTCCTGCTGCTGCTCCTGCCGCTGCTGCACATTATAGTTGTAGGCGGGCACGGGGCTGTTGCTGCGCGAGCAGCTCGCATTCTCCCCGTACAAATTGGCGCGACTCGCAATGCCGCTCTGCTGCTGGATGCGCTGCATCGACGCGTCCCGTGAATGATAGGCGCCCAATCCGCCGTGTGTCGGCGTCGTTGGCAAAATCCGATGTACGTGTCCATGTCCCGATGCACTCGGATGCTGCGGCATTAACTGCTGCTGCAGCGAATGCTGCTGCTGTGGCAGCTGCGGCAGCTGCGGAGGCTGCGGTAGCTGCGAATGTTGCGAATACTGCAAATGCTGCGAATGCCGCGAATGCTGCGGATACTGTTGTTGTTGCTGCTGCTGCATTGGATGCATCTGCTGTAGATGCTGCTGCTGCTGATGTAGATGCTGCTGCTGCTGCGGTTGCTGCGGTTGCTTCAGTATGGGCTTGAGCACATTGTAGGCCGACTGATGCGGTGCAGGCGAGGGCACAGGCCCTGGCGTGCTGCAGCTGGCTATGTCGCTCTCGTCACAGCTGATGTCTGCTATTGACAAAATCAATATTAATATACCAACTGCCGGGGCAAAAGAATGATGCCTCTTCATATATATATATGTATATATAGAGTAAATATATATATACCCCTTACCTTGCCTGTGCTACGTATAAAATGTCTATCTCTATGTTTGTCCTGACTGACTGACTGACTGACCGACTGACCGACTGACTGTCTGACTGACTGACTGCTTGACAGATTGACTGCAGCTAGGAAGCTGAAATGTTATATATATATACCCCTTACCTTGCCTGTGCTACGTATAAAATGTCTATCTCTATGTTTGTCCTGACTGACCGACTGACTGACTGAACGACTGACCGACTGACCGACTGACTGACCGACTGACCGACTGACTGACTGACTGCTTGACAGATTGACTGCAGCTAGGAAGCTGAAATGTTCACTGTTATTATCTTACAAGATAAAGGTGCACGTTAAGACGGCATTGCGGCAAATTCCAGCCGCATGTTTGGAAAAATCGCGAAAAACTTGTTTGTTTACCATCCGATCGCCCTCAAAAACAATTTCGAAGATCTTTGTTCAAAATATATTTTAGGGGCGTTTTACACTTCTCGCAAAATGCATTGCCACTTGGTGGAAAATGCGATTCAAAGATTTTTTAGGCCAAGTTTTAAGTTTAAGTAACAGGCATATATGCATGTTTGTACATACATGTATGCATGTTTGTTTTTTGATATATGTAAACGTGCATGTATGCGTACATGTAATTCATACATGCCATGAATGAATACCTATATATACATAGTTGCACATATATGTACACATACATACATACATACATACATACATACATACACGAATACATACATATATACATACACACATACATACATACATACATCCACACATACATCCACACATACATCCACACATACATCCACACATACATCCATACATACACACATACATACATACATACATACTTACATACATACATACCTACATACATATATACAAAAAAAAAAGCCAAAAAAATACCAAAAAAAAAAAGCGCTACACTACCAGCCAAGCATGGAAAAGTGCAGAGCCTACTTGAATTCTTGAGAATCGAGGAGTAGAGCACTTGATAGAAATTCGTTTTATTTAAATTTGCGGCACAGCGACAATTAGTCTTCGCCTGCGTTTGATATTAGAAAACAAACATGCATGCAAGCACATATGCATATGAACATGGGATCCCGATCAGGGGATACCCTGAACCCTCTTCTTCCAACAGGCGATATATATTAAATGAAAGATACTTGATATATATATACATATACTATTCTAGAAGCTACATGTCAAGTTTGGCGACTCTAGCTCGTATTATTTACCAAAACTGCTCAAAAAACTGGATTTCGATATCGATTTTTATCGATTACTTAGAAACGGGGCAAGTTATCGCATATCGGAAACAAACTCGATCTGCGCGTGCACTAGGAGAACCTACAGCTAAAATTTCAAGTCTCTAGCTCTTATAGGTTACGAGATCCTTGTGTTCATACATACGGACGGACAAGGCTAGATCGACTCGGCTATTGATGCAGATCAAGAATATATATACTTTATGGCTTCCTTCTGCCTATTACATACATTTGCACAAATACATTATACCCTTTCCACCCATTTTCAATGGGTTCAGGGTATTAAAAGATGAGCCTACTTTCAATTTGCGGCTTGAAAGCAGCCAGGGTCGAAAATATCTGACACATTCGAGACAATAAAAATAACATTTGATATTGGGACTATGGCTATTCTCTGTACGCTTTGTCAAAGAGTTCGAATAGAAACTGCCCAAAACAGAGTTTTCATATGACAGCTTTCAGGATGACAAAAGCCAAATACACACGCACACACACACACACACACACACACATACACACACACGCACACATAGACGGCGACCAGTCGAAGGAACAACTGCGGCTGACTTTGCTGCACTCCGAAAATATATTTTAAATAAACAATTTGCCGCATTTTAAAAATTGCCATAAATGCCGCAAATATTTCCAAGAATATGCATGCTAGTCATTTTTTTTTGTTTTTTGGAAAAGAAAATTTAGAAAAAACTTGATGGCAATTTTCCCAAATTGGGGAAAATCAACTGTTTTGAGTGTATTCTATGGCCTTTGGGCGCAGTTATTGGCCAGCCTGACAGTTTGTTGTGCATGTTGTGGGCGTTGCGTTTGCCCAAAATACACCTGAAATACACACACACACACACACACACACACACAGACAGACAGACAGACACACACACACACTCGCATTCCATGTGAGCCTTTGTTTGAGAAATATGCTTCCCAAGTTGAAGTCAAAGTCAAATATGAGAATGTGTGTTCAGTCGAAAAGTTTGCAGCCTTCATTTTTCCAAAGGCTTTCTTGCGAGTTCTGTTTACGGCACAACTCACAACTTGTAAACAAAACGTTATTGTATACCCTGTACACATCGCAAAAGAACAGAGAAAATAGCCGATCACAATTTTGGTTAACTAGATTTAGCTGCAAATTGCTTTTTGTACCTAAAGCAGCATTTTGTATAGGGTATGTGCTAGTCAAACATTTTGGGTGGACAGCAAATTTAAAGCAGCATTTTCTATAGGGTATCTGCTAATCAAACACATTAGGTAGACACAAAATGTAATAATCTTAGAGAGCTTTGAACGAGCAAGCCAGCTAAAGAAATAACATCAAAACAAGACGAGATAGCAAAACGTTTTTTGTTTTTTTTTTTCGAGCTGGCGACTGCCGAATACCCTTACTAAAATACCCTAATTATATGATTTGCATTTGCCTGCATAAACAAAGTGAATATTTTATTATAATTTTTTGCAGTTACTTTAATCTTGTAATTCTCAAACGATTTTAACCCAATGTGAGCACATTTGGTTTATTTCTAGAAAATCCATATCCGATGGAACGAGTGAATCGCTTTCACTTGTGGATTCGAAAATACCCCATAATACCCTCAGAATACCATTTATTTATTTATTTATTTTCGATTACATTTTGGGGCAACCCCAGAGACTAGCGGAACTGTGGAACTGTTAAAGTGTCCAAAGAAAAGCAAATGTCTAAAATACAAATTTTATCACATAAAAAATAGGGGATATATTTGAAATAAGTGGGAGTGACCGACTAGGGGATACCCTAGAACGCAGCACCCAGCTCTGAGCTGCTGTTGTAATCAGCTCGTATTTTAGCTTTTTTCTAAGTGGGAGTACTCTAGTGGGGTGTGCCCGACTGGTGGATACCCTAGAACTCATTACTGAGCTGCTGTTTTATTTAGGTGGGAATGCTCTAGTCGGGTCTAGTTGGGGGATACCCTAGCACCGAGCTGCTGTTGTAATTAGCTCTTATTCTAGCTTCCTTCTAAGTGGGAGTGCTCTAGTCGGGTGTGCCCGACTGGGGAATACCCTAGAACGCAGCACCCAGCTCTGAGCTGCTGTTGTAATTAGCTCTTATTCTAGCTTCCTTCTAAGAGGGGAGTGCTCTAGTCGGGTGTGCCCGACTGGGAAATATCCTAGCACCGAGCTGCTGTTGTAATTTGTTATTCTATATCACCAAGAAACACACACAGACATACAGCGTCAATGCTTCTTCTTTTCATACACCCCCCCCCCCCCCTCCCCATATATATGGAAAATGTATTCTTCATCAACTTCGATGTTTATTGTCGCAGCATACAAATGTGCATATATACTGAGGCCCCAGGCTGTGGTAGCCAGAAAAATTTGTTTTTGGAGGAATGGGAGGAGATAGACCAGAAGTGCTTTATTCCAAATCTGAGAGCCTGCACACCAAATTGTGTGTGCCGAGCTAGGATCAAAAATGGAATAGCGTAACGATAATTATCGTTTATCGTGCAGCGGATCGATTTATCGATGATTTAGAATAAACTCAATCTGGGAGACTAGGAGAAGCTTTCTTTAATACTTCAAGCATCTAGTTCTTATAGGCTCTGAGATGGACGCGCCCAAGCAACTAGACAGTCAGACAGACAGACGGAGAGACAACGCGACAGATGGACAGAAAGAGGGAGAGATACAGACAGAGAGCTATGATAATCGGAGATATATATACTTCTATCTTCAATATGCATTCGCACAAAACCATAATAATCTCTTTTTAATTCACTTTCAATGAATTCCGGGCATATGAATAGTCTTTTATTGTGCTCATTCAATAGATTAACGCGATTTGGGCTTAAATCGATTTAAATTTCTGGCAAGTACTCAAAAGGTAACTTTTACACTCAGTCGACTCGAAATTGAATTAATAAGTATTTAATGCATTTGAAAAGGCTGAAACCAATTGAAATCCTAATCCTTGGAAGCAGACAAAAGGGCGGCGGATGAAGTGAATGGCGGACCCAACCATCAAATCAATTAAAACTTGCTTAATCTGTCTTGTTTCTGGGAAAAACTTGAGAGATTTCCCAATAATTTTCACGGGAGGTTTTTCCTTGCTGTTGCTGCTCACCCTGCAAACCGAGAAACTGATTCTAAATGAAATAGAAAACAGTTTGAACAAATAGAACTCATAGAGAACTGGTGGAACCTTATAAGTATATATAACTAAATCTTTCTATCAGCAGAAAGTTTCTATATATTATGTTGTAGGAAAGGACCAGAATATATAACAACAAGTAAGAGGTTCTAGTCGGGAGCTGCCGATTAGGGGATACCCTGGACCCCTTTTCTTCCGACAGGCGATAGGTATAAAATGAAAGATACTTGATATATTTAAACTATTCTAGAAGCTACATGTCAATTTTGGCGACTCTAGCTCATATTAATTGCCGAAATTGCTCGAAAAACTGGATATCGATATCGATTTTTATCGAATACTTGGAAACGGGGCAAGCTATCGAATATCGGAAACAAACTCGACCTGCGCGTGCACTAGGAGAACCTACAGCTAAAATTTCAAGTCTCTAGCTCTAATAGGTTACGAGATCCTTGCGTTCATACATACGGACGGACAGACAGACGGACATGGCTAGATCGACATACATTTGCACAAATACATTATGCCCGTTTTACCCATTTTCAATGGGTTCAGGTATAATGAGTTTATATTCTCGTATAAGCTCGATAATTGTCCCCTAGTCCCGCAGGTATATGCGAACAGGGTGTGCCTTGGTCGAGCATGCCCAATTGAGTAGCTCTTTGTTGTTGTTGTTTCGTTGAGGCCTTGGTAAATGGGATTTGAATGTACTCATCATTTCATAACTGTCAAAGGCATTTCTGGGTTTTCACTTTTGAGAGCTGTCGCATATTATGTGCATTAACTAAGCATGTTCTGTCCATTATTTAACTTTTGATTGGATTCTAGATTATTGCGACGGCAATTCTGCTTCGCAGAAGCACAAATCACAATGACAATGGCCCTTTTGACGAATGCAAATTCCAGAAAATTACAGTTAATACAATTAATTTGATTCCAGCTAAAAGATAATCGATTTATGCTCAAAATTATATAACTGCCGTATTCTGTTCATTTCAGCATAATATAATTAAAGAGCTTATTGAGGGCATCTACGGAATTACGTGGATTTAATGATCTGTTCATATTTCCTAATAGGAATTGATGTTTTTCTCGTCTCCCCTTTTGATCCGATTACACGATGTTTAAGTTCGACTGCGACAGCCCGGAATTCGCCCACGTAGCCGGGGTCCATTTCGAAGGTTCTTTTAATACCCAGTGAAAATTGACTAGAAGGAGTAAATGCTTGCTTTTCTTTGTCTATGTTACATTTCCGTCCTCAAAAAATGCAGGACAACAGGCTGAGTCGGACAAATTAACGCCTTCTATTCGATAACATCACTTTCTTTAAATATCGATAATTATCGATGTTCAGACAGGATTTTTAACTCATTTCTTGGTGACTATAGCTGCGGTTAGTAGCAAATTTTGAAAGCAGGCAAATTTATGCTTTCTATTCGATAACAATACATTCTGTTAAAATCGATAATTATCGATGGTCAGTGAGGATTTTTCATATCTTGGTGACTATAGCTGCGGCTAGCAGCAAAAACTCTAAGCAGGCAATTTATGTTTTCTATTCGATAACTAAGTATTCCATTAAAATCGATAATTATCGATATTCGGAATAGATTTCCTAGGCATATCTTGGAAACTAAAGAAGCGGCTGGTAGCAAATTTTGTAAGCAGGCATTTGCCTTATGCTTTCTATTCGATAACTAAAAATTCCTTAAAAATCGATAATTATCGATGTTCAGAGTAGATTTCTTAGGCATATACTGTAGACTACAGCTACGACTAGCAGCAAATACTCTAAGCAGGCGAACTTATGTTTTCTATTCGATAAGTATTCTGTTAAAATCGATAACTATCGATGTTCAGACTAGCATATCTTGGAGACTAAATTCGGTAGGCGGATTCTCGTTTTACTAGCCACAGATGAAGTTCAATTTTGAAATGACCTCCCCCTCATTTCCCTGGAAACAGGGTATCTCCTGGTCGAGCTCGTGCTCCTTACTTGTGTTTCTTTTAGCCGTTTGGCCGGTTTCATTGTTGGCAGTTGTTTGGGGCCGGTTTTAAACGCGGCCAAAAAAAGGGAAAAACGGTTCGATTCAGTTCGGGTTTAGCTCTTGGCTGGGCTGTTCTAAGCTTTTCATGTTTCTTGTTGTTTGGCGGTTTTTTTGTTCGCTGTTCATTTGGCACTTTTTTAAGTTGATGTTTAACTTTCGCTTTGGCCCCACTTCCCTGTGTGTGTGTGTGTGCAGGCTTTTATTTCATTCAAGAGAGTATGTGTATGTACATATAAAAACTTAATGCGCATTATGCTTTTTTGATGAGCACCAAGACGGGCGCCATTCCTGTTAACGAGCGCGCCTCAAAGCAGCTAAACACGAAATGCCAAAACAAAAAAAAACATGCTGGCAATTCACCTGTGTGTAGTCGTGTGCGTGTGCGTGTGTGTATGTGTGTGTGCATATTGGTGTATTTTAATTGAAATATGGATATGACCTGCCCTTAGTTCCATGCAAAGAATCCGCTCAAGCGATGCTCCCCAAACAGCCTCAGACCACTAACCATTATATATATATATATATATAAATGTGTGCGTGTGTGTGTGTGTGTGTGTGTGTGTGTGTGTGTGTGTGTGTGTGTGTGTGTGTGTGTGTGTGTGTGTGTGTGTGTGTGTGTGTGTGTGTGTGTGTGTGTGCTTAACTCGTAAAGTAAGTCCGTTTGGCAGGTTTTCTTGCACCAAGCCGCAATGTTATGGCTGCATGTCGCACGTCATAGTCCCACACACACACACACACACACACACACACACACACACACACACACACTCCCACACACACACGCACGCACAGTCAGCAATATATAAAAATCCACACCACATGTGCCTCTTAGCTGGAACGTGGCAGGAAGTCAGCGCAATGGGAGCTAATCCACTAGGCAAAAAAACTAAAAAAAGGGCATCCCGCTGCCTAATTAACCCTAAGCCCAATGCAAATACTGTAAAAAAAAAAGTCACGGGTGCAGCTGGAATAGTCGTTTTATGTTCTCGGTCCTAACTAACTCCTAATCCCCAAAAAGCGCAACCGTGCAACAATCTCCCTTTTCCGTTGCAACGCCTTTGAAATGTGCAACGCCAAACTGACCCTCATCATATCTCGCTTTCAGTCTCTATTTATAGCTATCCCTATGCCTTCCCTCTGCCTCCCTCTCTCCCTCTCTATCCCTCTCTCCCTCTCCCTCCCTCCCTCTCTCTCTCTCTCTCTTTTCTCTCAACAAGGCTAACAAGGCTTACAAATTGTGGTTTGTCTTTATAACAATATAAAAACTGACCCACAGCATATTTCGCCAGTACATCATATTTTTCACTCTCTCTTCCCTTTCATGGCTCTCTTATCTATCTTCTCTCTCTCCCTCTCTCTCTCTCTTCTCTTCTCTCTCTCTTCTCTTCTCTCTCTCTTCTCTCTCTCTTCTCTCTCTCTTCTCTCTCTCTTCTCTCTCTCTTCTCTCTCTCTTCTCTCTCTCTTCTCTCTCTCTTATCTCTCTTCTCTCTCTTCTCTCTCTTCTCTCTCTTCTCTCTCTTCTCTCTCCTCTCTCTCTTCTCTCTCTTCTCTCTCTTTCCTTGTTCTTACGCTTACCTTCTGTCCTCTTTCTCTCCCATTCTCACTTTCATACCTTCTGTCTCTCGCTACAACGCCTTTCTATGCGATTTTCACAAAATCAAAGGCCTTTGTTTTAAATCATGTGCAACAAAGCTTACAAATTGTTTTTTGTCTTGTCGATAATGTAAAAACGGAACCATAGTACACCTCGTGATTACACTCTATGTTTCTCTCTCCCTCTATCTCCTCTCTTACTCTTTCTCTCTCTCTCTCTCTCGTTCCTAAGTTACAACTTCTGTTTGCCTCTCCAGCGCCTTTCTATGCGATTTTCAAAAAATCACAGGCCTTTGTGTTTGGTTATGTGCATGCTATTTCGTTATGGCTTGATAACGAAATCTTTTATCTAACCAAGAGGATGCTCATCAATCAGTCAATCGGTCAGTCAATCAGTCAGGACAAGAGCAACTTTTTAATCAATCAACACTAATACATTAAGCCTCTGACTTTGTGCCTAGTTTTGGACACTTCCATAAATCAAAGGCCCGCTCAAGGAAGATCTGTCTGCCGCTTTTAAATGTCGCCGTTCTATGCGATTTTCAAAAAATCAAAGACCCCATGTGCATGCTATATCATTGTTGTTGTGATAACGAAATCTATCAATCAATCAACCGTTTTACTTGTAGAGTTATTATGAAGACACTTACCAATATCAAAGGCCCGGATGACCGAGTGGCGCGGCAGCTGCCTGGCGCCGTCGGACGAACGTCTAGGTATGATAAAGTTGCTTGGCAAAAGGCCGACGGTGTTGTCCTCACCGTCGGGGCCGATACGCAAGTGTTGCAGCTGCTGCTGGATGTCCAGTTCCTGTTGCTGTTGCTGCTGTTGCTGTTGCTGTTGCTGCTGTTGCTGCTGTTGCAATTGTTGCTGTTGCAGCTGCTGTTGCTGCTGTTGCAGCTGCTGTTGCTGCAATTGCTGTTGCTGTTGCTGCTGCTGTTGCTGCTGTTGCAGCTGCTGCTGCATTTGCTGCTGTTGCAGCTGTTGCTGACTAAGACTGGCGTTAGTCGGGTCGCCCAGATTGCTGGCGGATTCCTGCTGGGAATCCGTGCCCAAATGTGTCGACGATCTGCGCGAATGCGTGCAGTGGCCATGGTTGCAATTCTGCAGCGAACCGCTGCAGCTGCGGCATCTGTGCTGATGACGATGCCGATGATGATGATGGCTGCGGACGCGATGCGCTGGCTCGTCGTCCAAATCCATGTTAATTAAGCTGTTGCTGCTGCTCGAGCAGCTGGTTGAGTTGTTGTGGAGTCCACAGAAACCGACATGATTAATGCCCGTTGTGCTTGAGCTCAGGGAGCTGCGCCGTGAACGATTTAATCTACAAGAGGAACGACCACCGCTGCACTCAATGATCCTATGGCTATTAACAGGGCTGACACTTGACAATGCCAGACCATCTGCCATGGTCATGGTCATCGTTAATGTCATGTCGCCGCTGCTGCCACTGCGACTGCGAGGAGGTGCCCCTTGTAGAAGAATCTGTTGACGACGCTGCGCTGGCGCCTGCTGCAATAGCTGAAAATGAGAATTCAAAGCACGTGGCAAGTGGCCACCGTGGTGGCTCCGAAGGCTGCCGCCGCAGCGTTGGCGCTGGGAATTCATCGGTTTGCTGTTCCTTGGTATTACCTGCAAGACGCAGTCGCACAGCGAGAGAAAGAGAGAGATAGAGAAGGGCAAAGAGTTTCAATACCAAGGTACATATTGACACAACGAGCGGAGCGGAGCGGGGGGGTCGTTAGATCGGTGGATCGGTGGATCGGTGGATCGGCTGAGGCATTGGTTATATACCTTATCCTCCAGCAGATTGGCAAAGAGTTCGCAGTGATCCTCGTCTTCGTTCATCATTTCAAAGAAATTCTTAAACGTATCCGGAAACGAGGCCGGAAATTGCCCACGCGCATCCATTTTGGCATCCATTTTTCGTTTTCGTTTTCTTTTTGTTTTTGGGTTTTTGTTTTTTGTTTTTTTTTTTTAACTAACCCACGTAACACATGCAATAGAAGACGTACATCAAGTAATTAGAGCTAACGGCAGGCAACAACAAGCGCAAAACAAAACGAAAAGCAAAAGCAAAAATGAGAGAAAAGCGAGATAAATGAATGAAATTCAAAGAACTTAATGGAGAAAAAGTGTATCAAGTTTTCAGCGCAAGTCGCCAAACTGTTTTAATGGGTGTGTGTGTGTGTTGGTGTGTGTGTGTGTGTTGGTGTGTGTTGGTGTGTGTGCGCTCACTTTACAATTACGACGCTCAACTGTTGAATGGCCTAAGAATTCGAACAATGAGTTCCTCTCTTCGCTAGAAACAACTGTCAAATTGATTAAAGTCAACAGGTTTCAACTCTGCAAGACACCCGACCGGCAGATACCCTGTAACAAACATACATTGTCTTGCGAACCGTCTACATTATGCTGTGTGTCAGCTTTTAAATATTGAAATTTACCGTTGAACCGGCGATTAAAACCAAAAAAGTTCAACTCTGAAAGACACCCGACCGGCAGATACCCTGTAGCTAACATAGACTGGAGAAAATTGACAGCAATTTTCTGCCTGTCAGCTATAAAAGTTGACAAAACAAAAGAAGCGAATACACAAATTGAACCGTCGTTTAGAGGTAACAAGTTCAACTCTGAAAGACACTCGACTGCCAGATACCCTGTATCTAACCAGAGGAAGCGTCTTTGCCCATTTGAAATGGACAAACGAGGGTCAAATGATTTTGTGCAAATAAAAATAAACATATTCTCGATAGAGTCAGGCTCGTCTGATGGTAGAAGATAGTCCAGGGTATCTTCAAGTCTGACACAGCACTCTAACTTGATTGCAACAACAACAACAACAACAACAGCAGCAAATGGAACAAAAGCGCGCCGAGCATTTTGTATGGAGCTGAGGCAGTCCGGCGGCTGTGGGAGAGTTGGGTGGGGGGAGGGGGAACTTTGGTGTTTTTCGCGTCGAGTTCTTTCCAAGCGGCTAAATTTGAAAAGTTGCCACGCCCTCGGGCCATACAGAGCGCGACTCAGTGCCAGGTTTAAACCGGGAGACACTCAGTCGCGCCCGCAACCCGTCCCCGCAACCCGACCCCGCCCCCGCCACGCCCATGCTCACCTGGAAAGTTGAAAAGTTATTTGAATGGCGGTTTCCTGGTCGAGGAATCACTACACAACTTTTATGCACTGCAAATGGACGGGCGGCGGTTATTTTGGGCTGTCAACCAAGCGGCGCGAACACAGTTTATGACGAACTGAGAACTGAGAAGTGAGAACTGAGAAGCGAGAAGTGCGAACTGAGTAGTGAGAAGTGCGAACTAAGCACTAGAAAGTCGGGACTTGTCAACTTGTTGAGAGGCTGGCCAGAGGCTGAAGGTCGCCGGTTCAAGCTGAATTAAGTACACAATTAATAAATTCAAATTCACTTTGGGCCACTTAATTGAATTTTATATTCGCACAACTAACAAATGCTCTCCAAACAATAAACATAGCACGAAAGTAATACAGAAATTAGAGTCCAGTTAGCAAAAGATAGCTATATTTCAGAGAAGTTACTCAAAATGATCTTCAGCTTGGTACAGCATTTTTTTTGTTGCTGTTCAAATCAGTTTTCGAAACTTATTGAATTTCAATTCGAATGTTCCATCAACTTTGGACTAAATTTTAAAGCTCTGCGAATCTTTAAGATGTGTTCAACATTTCTCTAAAAAATTCATCCCAAATGAGAGTCACAAGTTTTTATAGGAAACAGCTCTAAATTTCAGTTTCGAAATTGTAGATAAATGCTTGAATTTTTTTTTAAACAGATTTTTTGAGACGAGAGTTGAAGGTTTTGGGTTGGAAAAGTGTTGACCTAAGTTCGAGCAATGCCGGCGAATAAATTTTCAGCATTTCTTTTTTTTTTTTTAGCCATTTTATAGCTAGAGACTTGACGAAAGTATGAGCAGCAGCAAAGAGTAAGACGCAGCTGTCAACAGTCAAGAGACAGAAGCTTTGCCTCTGGACGGACGTAAGGACGGACGGAGGGACCGACGGAAGGACGGACGGACGGAGGGACAGACAGAAGGACGGACAGACGGAAGGAGGGAGGGACGGAAGGACGGCTGGTCGAACCGTGGAATTGTCAGAGCGTCAGACAGCCGCAACCGCAAATTCAATTCAGAGCTCAAATTTGATTTTTTTTTGCATTTTGGAAATTAGTTTTGGCTCTGGTTTTGGTCTTCGACGCGTTCTTCGACGCGTTCGTCGTACTTCCCGTCTGGCATTCCGACAATAAGGTCGCAACAAAGCTGCTCGAATGGGGGCCAAAGGTCAACGGCACGCCGGGAAAAAATAAAAAAAGGAAACTAGAAAAATTGTAATGAAAATAATGTGCACTAATTTTGCAATGTTGCAAATTTTGCAACATTTGACGCCAATTTGCAGTAACTTTCCGGGCGGGGCCATTTTCAAAGGCGTTGCCGGAAGTTTTTACAAGTGGCTGTGCGGGTGTGTGTGTGTGTGTGTGTATGTGTGTGCGTGTGTGTGTGAAACATTCGCTGGCTGTCGACGGCTGGAACGAACGATGTCAAGTGTGAGTGCTCCGCTTTTGGTCCTGGCCCAAGCTTATTAAAAAAACAACAGCAACAACAACAACAACGAAAAACGTTACAAGAGTGGGCGTTGGTGGGCGTGGCAACACTCGAGTGGAAACTTAATATATGGCCAGAGACCATAGAAACGATTCGCCAAGTGTTTTAGGCGCGTTTAGCGCACTCACGCTGATTACGTACAGCTTGAAAGGGGAGCAGCAGGTGCCACCCCCCCCCCTCCTAAAAAACCCCCACTCCTTCTACAGACACACACACACACACACACACACACACACACACAGACCATCTCTCATCCAGAACTAACCTCAATTGCCGTGTCAAGTCTGGGCGAGAAGCATCTAAAAAGTTATGCGCAAAATTTTCTCATTTATGCCTAATTTTTTTTAATTAGCGGTAATTAAGAGCAGCAACAGGATGAAGAGGGGGGGGGGGGGTGTTAAGGGAAGGGGTAGGAGGGAGAGGAGGCTATATCGAATAGATATGCTCCAGTTCTTTCCTTTTATGTTAAAGCCAAATGGCAAAGGCAGAAAAACAACTTGGCCCATTTTATAAGAATTGCAGCTCATTGCTTTCTATGATCCACACACACACTCAGTCACACACACACACACACACACACACTCAGTCACACACTCAGACACACACATATGAACATGCCCAAATAAGTAGGCAACAAATAAGTGAGCCACAGACAGCCTGCAGCGACTGAAGGGCAACCACTCGAAAGCAGACAACAGCCTGGAGCCAGCTAGAGCCCGACTAGCAGCTACCCTGTACAGCAGAAGTGTTCTCTAAGCCAGTGCCTGACTAGCAGCTACCCTGTACTCAGCGAACCCGGCTGCTTGACAAACGTCAGACCCACAAAATGGGCCTCTTAGAGGGTATTCTGCAATTGCCATGAAATAGCAGCAACAGTGCTCTATTCGACGATGTCTGACTAGCAGATACCCTGTACTCAGCGATGGTTTTCTGCTTAGCATATATTCCTTAGATTCTTTGTCAGAATCAACTGGCCTCAATTGTCTTCCTGCCTCTCTATATAGCTCTACCATATGAACGATCCGCCTCAGAGCTTGTTGCCTATGCAAAAACATCGCACCCTTTGACCCATTGTAGCTGCAGGGTATATAAAAAGCTGTGCGAAGGCAAGAATTGAAATAAGAATAAGTAGAAGTAGCTGCCACAGCAGCTGGAGGTTAAGTACAAGGGTCCTCGCACGGGGTCCTCGCCATGCATGAGACAAATGAATTGTGAGCCAAAAAAACGAATGAACAATCATAACAAGCAATTGTAGGCCAATGCCAAAAAGTGACTGAAAATAAAACAAGCACACACTCATATCCATATGGGTGCCTGTGCCATTTACAGCAACTAAGTGACATTCATTTAATCAACACTCACTTGAATTCATATCGACAAAAACTTGAGCTAGATAAATAATCTGCAAATATTAATATCTAAACTTTCCGCGGCTTTCATTTGATTTAAAAAAATTAGCTTATGTGTCCGAGCGTCGAACTAGCAAGCCAAAAAGTCGCCGGTTCAACTCGAGCAGCACTTGCTAATTTTGAGGAAAGAGTTGAAAGAATAATAAATTGGAAACAAACAAAATAGTTAAATAAATGGAAGTCGGTCAAAAAGTCGCTGGTTCAACTCAAGCAGCAAAAATTATATGGAATGAATAATAAATTGTTAAATAAATGAAGAAAAAGCGTCGGACTAACAAGCCAAAAAGTCGCCGGTTCAACTCCAGCAAAAGTTGCTAATTTTGAACAAAGAGTTGAAAGAATAATAAATTGGAAACAAACCAAATTGTTAAATAAATAGAAGTCGGTCGAAAAGTCGCTGGTTCAACTCAAGCCGCAAAAATTATATGGAATGAATAATAAATTGTTAAATAAATGAAGAAAAAGCGTCGGACCAACAAGCCAAAAAGTCGCCAGCTCAACTCCAGCAAAACGTGCCAATTTTGAACAAAGAGTTGAAAGAATAATAAATTTGTCCGACTGAATGTTCTAGTTGAATATATCTAAACTCAAGCTGACAATGTCGCGACATTTAATATGCTCCCAACATTTAGTTAACATGAAAACAAATGTCTAAAAAAAAACTCTTAATTATGGAAATATGTCGCATATGTACATTTAATCAAAGTCACAACAAAGATAAGTTTATTTTACTTAATTGGCTGCGGAATTCGAGCTTCGCTTTCATGCGTACGCTTTGTAAAACAGAATAGTTGAGCGCTGGCAAATTAAGTAAATGCCAGCTCAAATTGGACCATACTTTAAGAGACATTGCGGTCCGTTTGAATCGAAAGGGAGAAGCGTGAATTGTTGGGGAGAAGTAGTAGTTGTCCTGCTAGTTATAGGTAGCACACGC